ATATATATATATATATGTATATATATATATATATATATATATATACACATATACTAAAATAAACTACTACTTCCTACTTGTACTAGTATTCCTGCGTCACGGTTTTTCACTTGCTGCGGCGCTTCCAGGTACGGATCCCCCAAAATAAACGAGGGACAACTGTATACATACCAGTATATGGTGGCAGCCATTTTGGATTTTTTTATGTGGCAACCCAATTTTTGTTAGGGTACTTTCTTACACCTAGATGCAGTCGCATTCTAAAATGGAAGTCGGCATATTGCTTATTTTTGAAGTAATCCAGCTGTGGTATGTGTAGTCATCTTAGATCTTGATGTGACAATAATAATTTTCGAAAGGAACCATTCTTATGCCTAGATGCAGCCACACACCTAAAATATCAAGTTAGGTTCACAACATCTAATGGACAGAGGGCATTTTCATTTCCCCTTCTTTGCTCCGTTATGGGGGACAAAAGAATGGCAGGCAATGTGTATTTGTTTAAGCAATGTCTGGTTTATTAAAATAGTGTGAAATTATATAACAAAATGTGATATGCATGCATAATTTACCTGGTTGAGGACAGCCAGGAGGTGCTCTGAGAAAGCGCACACAGCTGCAACTAAAGACTGACAGAAGACCATATCACGACGTAACTGGATCTCTGAGTCTGGACCAAAAAAAAAGGACAATCCATGACAGGCAAAATAAACTGTTAAAATGAGGTTTACTCTGGCACATTAACAACTGAAGTACAGGACAGACTGAGTATGTTCTGATAATTAACCAGACTTCTTTACGTTAGGCTCTCTATGAGGTGACCGAAAGGCTTGGCACCTCATTTTTAATGTGTTGGGAATTAAATAATGTATCAGAGAGAAGTGAAAGCAAATGAGAGGTGTACTCAAGCAAGAATAATTAGCTGCCAAATTTCCTTGAGAAATAGCCTTTTTTAATTTCAGCACCAAGTTAACAAATGACTTCTTGAAAAACTCAAATTATTCCTGTGCTCAAAGAGAAAGATGCAAACTTTCTAACACTGTTTCCCTGGATTTCAGTGAACGTTTATAATTGAACCCAACAGATTGTTCATTCAGTTCAAAGTGCTTTAATGATTTTAATGCTATTATTGAGCCTCACGTTTAATCTATACATCTTATTATTGCTAGTGGATTTTCATTTTATTCAATGGTTTCCAATACAATATTTTCAATAAGCAGCAGCTCATGCAAGGATGCTAAAAAATAAAAATGTGTTATGGATATAAATACTCATACATTTATACACATACATACTCAAACACTCCTAAACTGGAAATATTTGTGTTACTTTACCATATTTTTCGGATTATAAGGCACACAGTTCTGTTTTCATATATAAGGTGCATTAACCAAAACAAAACAGATAAGTCAAACTTTATTCAAATCATTCACAATAACCACATAAAATCGGTTCGAGGTCTGTAAGCAAAACCAGAATTAATACATAAGGCACACCTGATTATAAGGCTCACTGTCAATTTTTGAGAAAATTAAAGGATTTTAATTGTGCCTTATAGTCCAAAAAATATGATAACTATTATGATTTAATAAAATGTTAATTTTAATATATAACCTTAACCTTGGGTGTATATTTTGTGCCATAGAAGCATAAAAGTAGTGACAATATCAGTGTTTTGTATTTTTAAGTCAAAGAAAATTATGTTGTAGCCCTCCCATTTCTTTGCAACAAAGTTTATTAGTTTTTATGTGTAATGGGAACAATACAAATTTTACAAAATCAGCTTTTATGTTTTTGTTTTTAAGTAGGAAAAAGGTTAAGCAAACCTGTGTACTGCAGTAGCACCAGGAGCAGTCGTGTCTTCACCTCTGGAAACAACAAATGCATAAAAAAAAATCAGTAAATATGTAAATAAGAGTTTTATTTCAGTTAATTTTGTCAGCTATATTAATATAATTAATGCTGTATGATTAAACTCCTAATGCCACACAGGATAATGCTGCATAACATTACTCCTGCTCCACTTCTGTTTATTTTTACATGTAAAAACACACCAGAAACGCCAGGAGCAGGCAAAGATAACAGCATAAATCCATATTTGTTTGTGTCATAGCCCTGGGTTGCAAAGCAGGAAGTCAGGCTGCGTGAAAGCACCACCCTGGTGAGGCGAAAAGAAAACGGAGAGCAGCACATCCATAATAACGGTTTATTTGCATTCTCTGTGTTCTGACCAGACACTCACCTTTTCCCAGACGTGTCACGGGGCTAGCTTTAGTTTCCATTTGTTTAACTCTGTTTGGTGGTATGCTTATGTGAGTTGAGTGTATCAGCAAAATAGAAACACTCTTGCTGGCAATAAAAAAATAAATAACAAACCCAGACAAAAACTTAAGCAGCTTTTTAAATATTTGCTAGTTTATAGCCTCGGCTCTGAGGGTCCAATTTACGAGTGCCAGGATGGTTTTTGGTTACACTTTAAAGAATTAAAGCGGTTACTTAGTGAAGCAGTCTGGTATTTCATTTAATGAATGGGCAGGGCTGCAATTTAGAACTAGAAGATTAAAGTAACTATCCAACTTCAGGTATGTAAACTCTTTAAAAACTAACTGAACAAGCTTCAGGGCTTAAACATTTTGAATTTCTGATTTTATGTGTGTTTCTGAAGTGTTAAAGCAGGAAGGGTTAACACTGACCTTCAGCGTATTTAGAAATGGTTTGCGTGAGCGCCTGAACGCTGCTGGGAAGATTCCACGGATCCTGCTTGATATGGAGACGCAACTTTTTGGTGCAGTTTACCCTGGGCTCCATCTCTTGCTGAAACTCTGACACAAACACACGAGCGTACAGAACTCATTAGAAGATCCCAACTGGATGCAGATGATTTAATGTACATGAGATGCAAGGCACAAAAAAAAAAGCTCTATCTCATCTGGAGCTGTGAGGTCACCTCAAGGAAGAGGTTTACTTCTAAAAGACCATACTGTGACTTTGATAAGTTTGACCTTCTGCTGGCAAAGACCTGAAACATCTCAGGAGGCAGCTGTATTCTGTTAGGATGTTGAATTAATTGATACAAACCGGATCTTAATTTTATTGTTAAAGTTTTAATGTCAACAACCTGCAGAGATTAAATAAGATAGAGGTTGGCAAGGATCCAAGACTGCAGGCAGGCATTGTTCCCAAATATATATTTAAGATAAAACTAATATGGGTAAATATAACCAAATCCAGGGCCAAGACGAGAACAAACACCATCCACACAGTAAAAGTCTCTCATTTATCACGGGGTTTAGGGGACCACGCCCACAGTGATAAGTGAAAAACCGTGAAGTAGGGCTACAGAAGTCCAAGTTCAAGTTTCACTCACAATCTTCTTCCTTCTGTGGAAATAAACAATTTAAATTCAAATACTGTAATATTTTAAATAACCAATCATGCGCAGCAGGACAACAAAGGGTTAACCCTTCACGCAGCAGCAGCACAGAGCAGAAATGTACTTCTTGATCAATTACACTGTAACAACTGAACATAGACGTTCTAAAATAATTAAAAATGACATTTAACACTTTTATATGTTGTGATTACGACGATTTTATGATGTGACATACTTTGAATTTTAAGATGGAAGACAAAAGTTGATCGGTGTAGCTGGACAACAAAGGGTTAACCCTTCACAAGCAGCTTCAGCCCGAGGAGAAATGTGTGGGTAGCAGAGAGCCGCAGGTGGCAGAGAGGAGATCGTGACAGGCTGCAGCAGGAGCTTCTCCCTGCACCTGTGGGCTGCACACAGGTGCAGCAGGTGCTAAATCATTGAAAATGATTTATTTTAAATAAAAATTCCATGCCGATCGTGCGCCTCATCCATCAGTCAGCCAGTGTCATTCAAGTCATGGTTTAATGGCATTTATAAAAACTTCTCACATATACAAGCTGTTTACTGGCATTCTTGTCATCCATGTGAATACTTAACTCCATCCTGCTCTCTTTATTTTAATACAGCCTTTTGCCAAACTCTCTTGATCCAATTATGAACTTATTTTTGTTGTTTGAGCAGAATACCAGTAGTAGACTTGCTCCATTATTTAATGCGTGTTTGTTTTTACAGCAATGATACATGAGTGGAAAAACCTCTTAAGTCTTATGTAACTGCTCTCAGAGCAGAAAATGGGACTTATAATAACTTGAAGTTGAACAGATCTGTGATTCAAAGATTAAACAGTGGGTATGAGTGTGTGTGTGAGGAGCAACAGGGTGTCAGATCAGATGAAGAAATGCTCTACTTGGTAGATAATCCCATTTGCTTCATTATCAAGCTCACATATTTCTGAAGATGGGATGGAACAGCACCGATCAAGGCCCTATGTGCCTCCTGAAGGCGCACAAACACAAGCAGGCCTATTTTCAGTTCAAGCGTATCGGCGCTCACTTGAGGACAGCTGGAGATGAGAGGAGTCCGTGTGCCAAATGGGTCGGGCTGTCTGGAGGCTTGAATTATCAAAACATACAGAATGACTGGGTAATCTGCTGTTTTGCTAAAAACGTATGCCACAGTGCTTTAAAGTCACCCTCAAGGACAAAAAGGCTTAAGTGTGAGTGAATTTCTTTCAGTGTGATATAGGCCAACACAAAATGGTTATTTTTTTAGACATTTGGAGATAAATTATGTTCTGGGTAGCCACTTTTAAGATAGTTCTGTGTTATCTCAGAGATGGGTCTTGCTCTGAATCAAGTGCCACAGTCGTAGCAGGACGTAGGAATATTTTTAGCCAATCTCAGCCACATTTCCCAAGCTTCTTTGTAAAACATGCAATCTAACAATAAATGCAAAAAAAAAGGACACTGGGGTGAAGATGAGGCAAGTCATCGAGCTTTTACAGAGTCGCAGTTTTCTTTGACAAATAAATAAATCAATAACTAACGTGATGATGAGTACCTAAATAACTAGAGATGTTACAAGACTAAAAGAAGAACAGCAAGAACAGGAAAAAAATAAATCAGAAATACTGAAATGGAGCTAAAAAGGAGTAAATGCTGGGAATACTTCTTTGTTTAAATTCTGGATTCCAGCCACAATAGTTTCCCCTCATTTGTCTACATCACATTATGCAACAGGAAGTCACAGCCCTTTTGTGATCATCATCTACTCTGTTTTATGTCAATATTGAACAAAGAGTCTTTTATATAATCTTCTTCCCCCCAGGATTACATCAGGAGTGTCATAGCAGGAGTAGACCTGTCACGATAACAAAATTTTAAACGGGCGATTAATTGTCTCAGAAATTATTGTGACAAACGATAATATCGTTTGAAGAAGAAATGTTGATTTGTTTTGAGTGTAGTACCTTTTTTGACCAATGGATGGCAGTATAAGACTGTTTGAACGGAAGGATGGATAGTGAGGGAACGAGCAGCATGTCTCTTTAATAATAATGGGAGGAAGACCCCTTGACGCGACATGGGCTGTCTCTCGTTCCTGTTTTTCGGTTCTCAAAATGGCGAACGCTCGGAGTGGTTTGAGCTCTTTAGCGTAGCATTTTTCACACAAAAGATTTAAAAAAAAATCAGTTGAGCCTTTTGTCATCCAGTGTCTTCAGTAGAAAGCAAGAGACACGAAGAAACGATAAAGCCGATAAATGAAAAAGAGGTAGATAATTTTCATTTATCATGCGATTAACTGATTTATTGTTTATCATGACGGCCTAAGCAGGAGCAACTCGCCCAAGAATTAACACAACTAAAGAGTGTTAAAATGACGAATGATAGCAAAATAAACACTTGACATAAAAAAAATAAAAAAAACATATTTTTCTACCTTGTATTCCTCTTTCAGGAATGAAACACTTGGTCTGTTCAAATGCCCGAGCCACCACCGCTCCTCGCAGCATGCTGGTGATTGAATCCACCTGAAGAAAACACACGGGTCAGCTTGGTACACATGATCCAGTCTCCTACTGGGACAGGATTGAAAGCATGTGCAGGGAAGCAAAAAACTGTCCCCCATGCATAACAAACACCTGCCTTCTTTTGCTCTCAGTCTAACACACACACACACACACACACACACATACACACACTTTACCTCACAGAACCCAAATGAACAGCTTATGTGGTGTGTAAAACAAAGCTAGGGAAACTGCTCGACAATAAAACAAATGACAGAACAAAAAGTGCAGACACAGCAAAGTTACTTTATCATGCCTTTTTAACTGCTGATATAAAACCCTTATTATGCAGCTCTTTGTGAAGTGTGTGTGTGTGTGTGTGTGTGTGTGTGTGTGTGTGTGTGTGTGTGTGTGTGTGTGTGTGCAAGTGAGAGAGAGATTGTTTTTATGTGATTATGTCCAAAACCAAGAATTTGTAGGGATTTCTTTTACATTTTGAGACAACATTTTGAGCTTTTTTTGTTAAAGAGACAATTCAATTTTAATAAAGTGGTATTCTGTGGAGTCACTATCATTAGTCAGTGTCTTACCTGCAGTAGAAAGCTGTCCAAGCAATACCAGTTTAGACTATCAGTTGTAGGGTCTCTCAGGAGGGGTCGAGCTAACAGCTAATTGGAGCTAGGTCAGTCTCAAAGCAGATTTCCACCCTCGCAAGACAACGTAAAGATTTTAGAGAAGTTCAGTCAAATGCTACTTTATAAATCATTCACCACCTGTTTGTATTAGATGGTAGAAGTCTGGGGGTGTTTAATCTGAAGGCATTCAGCAATAATTGTTCATGTACAACAGAAATATTTAAACATAAAAATCAATATTCATGGGAATGCTGTGAAATATTTGAGACTAAAGTTGTTTTTATTATAAATTATTTTTGTTTTAGTTCGGGTCGAACCAGAGTTAGCTCATAAGAACTTATTCCTGATAATCCAAACTTCACAATGCTTTCACTGCTGTGTACTCCTAGCGTAAGCTGCAGACAGATGAGAACAGATCTACAAAACCCCACATCTAACAACCCGAACTATCCCTTTAAGATTTGGTTTAAGGTTTGGTTTGTGGTTTTGATGGTTAAAATTTGGGTAAGGGACAAACAAATTCATTAAGTCAGCTAAATGTCCATGGGTACACAAAAACAAGCATGTGTGTGTGTTTAGTTGTAGTCAGGCATGGCAGATCTGTGCTGTAAATGTTTCAGTAAAATTATCAAGCCTGTCCTGATTTACCCTTTTCCTACAGGAGAGAAAATTGCATTCCAGCCTATGTTTTCAATAAAGAGTGGACCTTAAAAAAACATTCACCAAATTAAAAATGATATCAGTTGAGCCCTCTTGTGTTTAGGTAATGAATGCTGCAGTGGATCCCATCTTCAGTGTAATAACAGTACATTTATTCATTTGGGTGTGAATACATTTCCTCTAAGATAAAAATTATGTGAGGAATACTCCAGAAAAAACAAATCTAAAAGAGTGAAGTGATTACTTGAGTTTTTATTTGAATGGTCCCAATCAGCACATGTCCGGGTGTTAAATTGACTCACCTGGCTAAAGAGATGCTCTAGAAAGCTATAAAGTTTCTTCTGCTTGTCATGGGATAGCCATACACTAGAGGGCATCTCATCTCCTGCAGAAATGCAATTAAAACTGATCATGAATCATCTTTTTAGTTTTTTTTTACACTTTGTATCAAATATTTTCTTGTCGTTTACTATAAAGACAACTTTTTGTTCTTCCATTGAACAATTATTGGGCTAACAACTGTCTGAAAATGGGAAACATGCACATTTCTCAGTTATTGTAAAGGCTTATATAATGTAGAACTCTGTCGTGTTTGTGCACCTGAGTCCATCTCGTCACTGTGAACGTAGGAGCTGCAGTGACTGCTGCAGATGCTGGTGAAGGATGCGATGGAGTTTCGGTTGCTGTTGCAGTCACTGAGAAGAAAACAATGTTTATATTTCAGATGAAAATATCAGAAAGTGATCAATGGATTTACATCTACAATCGATTAATATTTCGAGCTAATAGAGCTAATTAACTTAATAAAACACAGACATGGTTCAAATTCAGTCATTTTTACACACACTCCACTAAAATCTGGTGTGTTTGTAGCTGAAAGTCATCTCCATCATAATACCCGAGTGCTAACAGCTCAAGGAAGATCTCAAAATATTATGTGATGCAACCTTATTTTTGAGACTTGACCAAAACTAACATAACTGTCATTTTTCATATGCGTAAAGGAATGCCACAAGGCGCAGTCTTAGGACACACTCTCTTTGCAATCTATATAAGTAATGTAGGTCAGAACATTCCTGATGCATTCCTGCAATTCTATGCTGACGATACAGTTGTTTACTGTCGAGCTAAAAGAGTTGCTAAGGTTTTCCAGCTTTTACAGTCTGCATTTGACATCATCCAGTCAGACTTGTTGCATCTCAAATTGGTGCTAAATGCTGATAAAACCAAAGGGATGTTGTTTTCAAACAGAAAGTTGATACCAGCAGTCCTTCCTAGCTTATCTAGAAACGGTATTCCTATTGAGTTTGTTAACTCTTACTAATACTTGGGAATCTTGGTCAATGCACATCTCTCTTTTAAGCCGAATGTCAAAAACTTGACAAAGAAACTGAAATTAAAACTGGGTTTCTTTTTTAGAAATAGATCTTGTCTAACTTTGAATGCCAGGAAACACCTTGTAGCTGCTACTTTCCTACTGGCCATAGAGTATGGTGACATTATTTACATGATGTTGGAAGCTGTCTATCATGGTGCTCTAAGATTCATAACTGGTTGTATCTACCATACCCATCACTGCACTCTATACTCACTGGTCAGTTGGTCCTCATTATCTATGCATACTGTAGGCTCTCACACTCGTACATTTTCATCTTTAAATCACTCATTGGTCTGCTGCCTTCATATAGCTCCTCCTACATGTCACATCATCAGTGCAATAGTGTGCGCTCTCAAGCCATCATTACCTGCAGCGCCCCTGAAATCGACAAAAAGGCCTTTTCTTGCTCTGTCCCTGTAACCTGGAACACCTTGCAAAAAGATCTGAAGTTGACTTTGACCTCTCTAAGGGATTTTGAACAATTGTGACAGTTCAGTAGAAAAATCAATGCAAACCTTTTCCTGCTGTTAGTATTTTATCTCGTTTCACAATGTAGCTTGATGTTATTTTGTTTTATAACACTACTTTTATTAACTTTTAAGTTTATATGCATTTTATGGATGTTTATTGTTGTTTGTACCTTGTCTGTGTTCTTTGTTTAAAACGGGTCTCTTGAAAATGAGTCCTTGTGACTCAATGAGACTCACCTATATTAATAAAGGTTGAATGGAAAAACGCTAGGCCTCCATTTCATTTTAATATGAACTCCTTAAAATGTGTCTTTAAGGCCTAAAAGTATGCAGTGCTAAGGCGACTTGCTCTCGCGTTGGTTTTACCTGTATGAGTCTCTGTTGCTGATTGTGTCATGTCCAGAGTCCTCCTGCTCGTCTCCTGCCACATTGAAACACACCTTCTTCCCATTCCTCTCACCTTTCTCTCCTTCACTTTCTGCAGAAATGTAGCTCTCCTGGTTCCCCACCTCTGATGCTGGAGGGTAGGTGATGGAGGATATAAGGCTGATGGGGACAGAAAGGAAGAAGAGGGAAGGTCTTATACTGATACAACATGCAGTACACACAGTACGTGTGGTGGGTTCTGATAGCTGACCTAATGGGCCAAACAAAACACTGGCACGTTTGTGTTATGCTTCAAATGCTCAGCGGTCCTCATTATATTTAAAGGTTCAAACATGAAGTTCGGTACACCTGTATCAACACGCTCCTACGTGGCTGCAAAGATCAGCTCCCCCCTCTCTGTACAGCCACCGTCTTATATTCTGTGAGAGATTCTGCTAGATGTCTATTAGAAGAGCAGGAACAGGATATTTTCACAGTTGCAGCAACACATGGTGGAGTTTAAAGCCATATCCTAATAAATGCTGGGCTTGTACTTTTTTTGATCTCTCCCCCCCCACACACACGCACACACACAGACACACAATGTTTATATTTCGGACTCATTTGAATTTGAATCGGCTTACATTTTCCGTGACGTCGCTCCATCGACCTTCAATACAAAGTGGAAACAGTGAGGGGCTACATTGCTCTGTGCTGCATCAAAACGAACACGTCTTCCTTTAATTCAAACGTGCCAAATGTGTCTCGGGTTTTTGAAATCCTCTAAATGGTTACTCGTTCCCCACTGACCTGCTTTCTACACATTCGCAGGCCGACGAGGCAGCAAGTTGCCCTCATTACGGTTCACTCCAGAAACCACCACAATGCCCCTCCAAAGCAGAATGGCATTCCATTGCCATGGAGAAGGCCTCCTGGCTCTGTGGTTGGTCACTGGGTAATAAAGAAGGGAGCCCAGTCTGGGGCCTTTGGGGTTCAAACTGGGAGGGAGTACGGCAGAATAATCATCGCATCAAAGGTGAGCTGAAGATTGAAACACAGGGAAACCTAAAAACAGAACAATCTAGAAGATTTATTTATCTCACAAGATGTTCTTTTAACTAAACATTTAAGAGTGATCCTGCTTTAGTAAGTCTCCAATTCAGTGGAAGGATCTTTGCTATTTATAGTACGATAAAAAGTCCAAACATACTACAGCTCTAGATCTCTGACAGCTAATTTATGTGTGCAAACTAAAAAAAAAAAAAAAAAGAAGATTAAAAAAAAAAAATAGAGGACAAAGTTGAGATATTTGGTTTTCAATTCAGGAAGAGAGGAGAATATGAAGCAGGGCTTGTCCTCTCACAGCTGTCACCCTTTCTGAGATACAGAAACAAAAGTTCAGAGGTGCCTCAAAGTGGATTCCTCAAATATCCAGCCAAGAAATTACATAACATGAAACTATGTCCAGTGCTTTTTATTATTTCCTAAAATTATGAGGGGTGTTTCTAATCTGGGTGAAATACAGCAGACTTCTTTTCTTCAAACTGAGAACAGACAAGGGAAGTGTTTGACGCAACACACAAAACAGCCAATTCAACTCGTTTGTTGGGAAACAGGTTTTTAGAGAGTTCAGATCTTTTGAAAGTGGCAGTCTATGGCAAAGTTATGAAGAGTTAATATCTTACCTGTTCTTTGAATGACCTCAGTTTACAAATAAAGGCTATACCAGAGCAGATCAAAGAGCTAATGATTGTCTGAGATGAGAACAAAGTGGATTGTTGCCATCTTAAACTAATTCAGTCTCAAAAAGACTTAATAGAAGTTTATGCAAATGCTATTTTATAAATCTTTACCATCAATTTCACATCATACTGCTTTTCTGTCTCCGTTTGTACTGGTGCTTTAATTTGGGTAGTTTGTTATTCTTGTTTGGCTTTTTTAAGCTAAGTTCACACTGCAGGGCTTAATGTTTAAATCTGTTACAAAGCAATTGTAATCAGACTACAGTTTAAACCACGGGTGTCCACAAAGTGTGGCCCGAGGGCCATTTGCAGCCCTTTGAGTGCTTTTGTGCGGCCCACAACTGCAGTTTAAGAATGGTATCATTTTGTCCATGAGGCTTAAGAGGTTAATGCAGACTTTCTGCAAATTAGTTGTTAATCTTTTATATATAATGTTTAGGTTTAACAGCAAAACAGATGAACATTCTTCTCAAAATGAGCAATATTAAGCAAAATACAAACCTTTGGCTATAATCTTTTTTATTTTCACTTTATGGTGCAAAGCACTAAAAACCTTTATTGATTTCTACAAGAAAGGAAACTTTTGGATCATGATTCATAAAACTTGGTTAAATATTGCAGTTGATAAAATAAAAAAGAGGGAAAGTGGACATTTTTAAATGAATATAACGTGGTATCATCTATACGAGTTAATCAACTTTATCAAACTTTCTATTAATCGGTTGTAGCAACTGACAGCTGGACGGTTTTTCAGAACTTGGATCAGCCTTTTGGGCCGTCCATGGTTCAAAAGGCTGATGGACCCCCTTTTAAAAGGACACTTACTCAAATTGTGCTTTTATTGCTGAGAACAGAGTAAAATTTACTTTCCAAACACAAGAAAACAACAAACATAGACACAACAAATAAAATAAATTAAATCATTTTTAATAAAAAAATATATAAGCTTAGTGTTTATGAGGCTCTTAATGTTTTGGATCAACAATTTAAAAACTCTTTCTCCACCAAAACTTTTAAACATTTCTCCTTTCTCCTAAATATTGGTCACGTTGAGTTAAATTCACATTTTTGTGGCCCACGAGTCCTTTCATCTTGATAGTATTGGCCCACATATGAAAATGTTTGGACGCCCCTTTAAACGGCGTGTCCCTGGAGTGACCCACATGGGCAGAAAAGTCACCCCAAATGTTAATTAAGCCCAAAACCTTAGTTTATTTCCACTGACTAGCTCCATCAGCGGTGTTTGTCATGCTTGTTTTGTCTGTTGTTTGCTCCTTTTAGCTGCTCCCTGTATATTCTGTGAACTCTGTCAGACTTCAGTGCCGTAAAAGTCAGATACAACAAGCCGCAACTGCTCAGACTGATTCATCACAACATAAATAGGTGGCCTTGGTTTAATTTACAAAAATCAGAATTGTCATGTTCTGTCATAAAATGTTAGATATGAGCGAGGTGCATATGCACAGAAAAGTTGGATTTAAGCCACTTTTGCCTCCAGTGTGAACTGGTCTATTTTTTTAGGTTTTGCTTCTATGTTCCCAGCCTGTGTTTTTCCTCAGCGTCCCTGTTTGCATGATCACACACATCTGTCATTCATCTACAATCACCCACTGTGGAATTTTGCATAAATATTTTGTCACGTGAAATTAATAGATAATTAAAAGTTTTATAAACTGTGCACGCATGAACTGTTTTTTGTTCTCGGCCCCACTTGGACCAGCCGTTAGCTCATCAATACCGTCAGAAAAAAAATATCTGAGGCCATTCAAAAAGCTATTTACAACAGGAACTGTATTATTTATTTATAGATTTTCATGGAAATCCTACTTTAAGAAGAACTAAACCACCCATTTGGGACATTTACCCTTTAAATAACTAAAAGGAAAGTCTGAGTCTTTGTATGTGAACAGCTGAGTTAAAATGAGAGCAAGCAAAAGGAGCGCTGTTATTATTATTGTCTTCTTTTATACAGGCAACCTTTCAGACAGACGGGCAGAGTGTGTGCAGTAGTAGTAGTAGTAGTAGTAATGACCCCTGTGCAGCCTGTGAAACATCTAAAATGCAAACTGCCAGTAATTTCAGGAAGCCTTAACACACCCACAGAGGTCAAATTGATGCATCGAGCCAGCTACAAGAAACGGACCAAATTAGTTTCCGTGCTGAAACCCTCACAGCCTCCCTCACACACTCCTACCCTTAACAAGCTCCTTGTCTAAAGTCTGCATGTTTGAACAGACAGCTCATGCAATAGGTCATTACTGCCTCACTAGATGCGCCTTGGACTGGTCCAAGGTGCGAGGATGCCAGTGAGCTAATTGGCAGTGACAGGGGCATGACAGACTCTGTCCTGACTTTGTCATTACCAGCTGCTGTGGACTCCTCTCATCATTACTATGGTGAGGCGACAGCTCCGCTTCATCCAGGAACGTACATAAGAATAGACTATTGGTAATAAATCATCCAAATGATTATCTAAAGATTCATAACAGATAAAGTAATCAGTAAGCTGTTTATAAAAAAAATTAAAATCATCAACTACTGCTTAATCAACGTCTGTGTTGGTGATGTGGCAGTGTTTATTAAACAGTGGCTTTCAACAGACAAGCACCTGGCTTCATTTCACACACATCTTCATTTAGATTTTACTTCCTGCCCGGTGGAGGTGCTCAGGCCCGAAGCAGGATTTTCTCCTTTGCTTTCCGGTGTCTCGTGTGCTGCTGAACAATGAACCTTGCATCCGTGCCAAACAGAAAACCGTGCAGAATACAGAGTGACCCAGCAAAAAGCAATGATTCACTCCATATAAAACACCATGCCAAGTTTAAAATCCTGAACAAAAACAAAGCAAGAGGGCACGTTTGAGAAGGAAATGTGGCGTAACATGGTCTCTATGCTTTTCCTCCTCCGTCTAGCATAGCATGCCTGGACAGGTGTAAAGTAATGACCCAAATGTATTCTCATCAAGTAACAGATGCAGCACATTGACTGTCAGCCTGCAGAAGTTTCAGGGTTTTACTGGGAAAAAAAAAAAAATATATATATATATATATATATATATGTATATATGTATATATGTATATATATATATATATATATATATACATACATACATATATACAGTAGTCCCTCCCTCGTTACTTCACAGTTCGACTTTCACAAACTCGCTCTTTCACAGTTTTTCAAAGTAAGATTGGACATGACACACAACTGGCTGACTGATGAATGAGCCGTAAGATCGGCATGGATTTTTTAATTTTAAATAAATTATTTAGCACCTGCTGCACCTGTGGGCTGCACACAGGTGCAGCAGGTGCTCCAGTGCAGCAGGGAGAAGCTCATTCCTGCAGCATATCATCTCCACGCTGCAGCAGAAAAGTGGGCGTGGCCAAGAGCGCCGGCAGGTGGCAGAGAGAGGGAAATCATGACATGCTGTGCTCTTTTAGAGTGTTTAGAGTTTAGAAACATTGTTTAGAATATTGAGAGTGTGGGAAGGGTTTAAAACACCTTCATATATATAAATACTAAAATAAACTACTTACTACTTGTACTACTATTCCTACTTCGTGGGTTTTCACTTATCGCATGTGGACTGAGACTGGAACCCCCCCGTGATAAAAGATGGACTACTGCATATATACAACATTTCAACTCACCGTCATGTGAATATTAAAAATAATAATACATTTCAATATATCTTTGAATTACCATTTGGTAATTGTTCCATCAGAAGGTGAATCATCACATTGAAATGCAAAAATAAAATGTGCCTAGATATTTGGAATAAAGTTTAGATTTTGTAGGTTTTGTTTAATCTTGTGACCTGAAAAGGAAGAAGCAGATAAAGATGGATGGATGGTTTTGTTGTCTTGTTCTATTTTGAATTACCACATTACTTCCTGTTTTATTTTGTAAAATCTGCTCACTCACCAGTCATGAGTTCCTGCTTTTCAGACACAGCTGGTCTGGGTTTGGAACTTGTCACAGCTGTATCCATTCAGTCATTATCTCCCTCATTATATATAGTCCTTGTCAAGTCTTTTTTATTGTCTTCATGCTGCTGCATTATTCTGCCATTTGTAAATTTGTAATGTTCAAACGTTTTTACATTAAAGCATTTAATTTTAAACATCCAATTACTTACTTATATGACTGTGGTTTGGTCCTCTGTTCTCTGTCCACGTTGGTTTTATGACATTAAGTCTTAAAGGTTAGGCCTAAAGTCTCATTTTATTTGCAACAAGTTGTGAAGTTGTACATGTTATTATCTCATATCATCCAAGCACTTTGCAATATATGTGGCATTTGCGCTAAAGGGATAGACAATAAATAAACAATTTCTGAAAACTTTCATTATGTGCCACCTTGAAAGGTTTGCAAAATTTGATTAACTGTGGCGGCCATAGCCACTTACAGCGATGACGCAATCAGAAACCAGTGTGGAGGAAACTCTGATTTTTGAGTGCTTGATTGGTCAAACATGTCTGAAAACTGTCCAGTTCTAGTCATCAACAGCGCATCCCTAAATACCGTAAACAGTTTATACAGAATGTAAAGCTACTCACTCATGAATGTGGGCACCGTGTGTCTCCAGCTCCTTTACAGCAGCAGTGAGTTTATAAAGAAGTTTCTGATATGCATCGAGAGTGAGAAGGTCGTCTTCTCTGAGCAAGAACCGAAGCCCGTGTCCCTCTGTCCGGCCCAGGCTGTGACCCGAAGGAGCAGCCATGGTTGTGATTGTGTGCTGGACATTCACCATGGGGCTCAGCTTACCTGGACATAAACCCATGTTGTCAGTAAAGCTTCGGAGCGGTGAAGCTTGATAAATACGTGAACTGATTGTGCACCGTTCTCACCGTTCTCACTGCTGCGCCCGTTCTTCTCCAGAGTGTTCTTCCTGCTGTCTAGCTGCACACCAAAGGCACTGCCCAGAGAAGTGGTGGTCTTGTGGTAGGACACCTCCAGCACATTTATGTGGCAGTTTGTGGGGCAGAAGTCGCTGCTGTGCAGGGGGGAAACCTTGGCCTTGGCTTGCTTAAAGGTGGGCCACGCTCTGTTCTTCAGGACACGAGCAAACTGAGACGAAGACGATAAATAACTCGTGAGCACTGTGATTCTAATTGAAAAGATAAAAACATGCAGGCTTTAAAACCAGGAACTCAGAAATTATTTAGTTGACGTGCATCGTATTTGACATTTAAAGGAGCTCAGCAAAAACAGGGCAGAGTATCTGTCAACAAAATTTTACTTGTACGAGTATGACAACATGCCAGAAGAAAAAAAAAACTGTTTCTAAAACACGTCCAACATTCCTTTCTTGCGTGGCAGCACAAATGTTTAAACCAAACTCACAAATGTGGAAAAAGTCCAGACTTCAAGCCTTCATCGTTTCAACTGATTTAAGCTGAGCTGAAGGGGTGAACAGCAGCTCGTGCCATTGGATTGTAATTGTAACGTTCACGTGTCGCTTCAATGACTTCCAGAGCAAAATTTCATGGTTTGAATTTGCTGCAGAGGAACCGAAGATTCATAGTTTCCAAAGGAATATCAAGCAAGTTTTCTGCTAAAATAAATAAATGCATGTCACTAAAATTACACTATACATAAATGATCTACACATGGATTATTTGTATATAATAAAATCAGGATAAATATCCACCAGAGTGACTCAACTCTACAAGTCATGTCTCAAATCGCTGATTCCACTCGAGCAACGATATAAAGGAAGCTTTCTTTGTCAGAATCTAAGTAAAACATGAGCAAGGATCTGGAAAGTCAAACAATAGTCTTTACCCATCTGGTGCAACAAATAATACAAGCAGGCTACTGAAAGAGTTATATTTTAAACTACAGAAATTGCATTTCCTGCAAAAATGCATTGTGAAAGCATATTGCAGAACTTCCTGAAAAACAGCTGAAATTAGCTAAAAAAAAAATTCATGCTGAAATGTTGCTGAAATGGAAGAACAAGCCTAAAATCGCAGAAGAAAGCAGAAATAACACATATTTGTTGAATTAGGTTTAAATAAGCACAAAAAATAGGAAATCAGCTAAAAGAAACACTGAAGTGAGTAAAAAAATTGAAGAATAGTAGCTGAAAATGCAGAAAGAAGCTTAAGATACCAGAAGGACATGAAAAGAGCTGAAATGAGCTAAAAATGTGGAATTAGCTGAAAAAGCTAAAATTAGCATAAAAGAGCTAAATTGGTGGCTGAAAGAGCAGAAAAAGTTGAAACTAGCAGAAAAAAGCTGAAAGGAGTATAACAAACTGAAATTAGCATAAAGAGGTTAATTAGGCTGAAAGTGCCGGAGATTATCACGAAAAACTTGAATTTGAAAACAGCTGAAATTAGCTTAAAAAAATGTAGCTGAAAAGATATAACAAGTTTAATTTACCATAAGAAAGCAAAAAGAACACGTTTGGCCAATTAAGCTGAAAGAAGCAAAAATGAGCACAAAAAAGTAAAAATTATCTGGAAAAAAAACTTGAAATTAGCAACAACAAAAAAACAGCTGAAAATTGGCTAAAAACACAGAAAGGAGCTGAAATTACAAGAAGGAAGTAGAGAGACCACATTTTTGTTGAATTAGGCTGAAAAAAGTTTAAATGAGTGCAAAAAAATGTGGACTTAGCTGAAAAGGCTTAAACTAGCATGGAAACAGTTAAATAGTAGCCGAAATAGCAGAAAAAGCTTGAACTTGCAGAAATAAGCTGAAAAGAGCATAACAAGTGGAAATCTGCAGAAAAAGTTAGAAGTGCAAAAATGTTGTAGTTAGCAGAAAGAATCAAAAAGGAAAACAAAACAGCTGATATTAGCTGGAAAAAAGTTTAAATTTGCACAATAAAGCTAAAAGAAGCAAAATGTGAAAGAAGCAGTAAAAGATTGTAAACACATCTAAAGCTTTGAAGGATGTAAAATTAACTCAATTCATTTTCTATGAGAAAAAAATGGCAGAAAAGGCTAAATATTTCAAAATGCTAAAGATACCAAAAGTCAAAGCAGGATTGTCCTGAATGAGCTGAACATTTTGATTTATGATTTGTTGAAATAGACTGAAAGCTGTGGGACGAGATTCGCGCTGAAAAACATACAGAAGAAAAATGGATCACAAAAGTGTGAAAGCTTCTTAAATCCAGCAGTGTTCAGTCAGGTCATCTGGACGATTTCTGGACTGTCCAGATGACCTGACTGAACACTGCTGGATTTTATACCTGGATTATTGAGCATGGACTTTAATGTTTCATAAACATCCACACAATAATAGTACGATCTTCTGTTATCTCACTTCGCTTGAGTAAGAATCATGCAGAATCGAAATGGAGAGGAGCTACTCCGACACCTGTCTCAGGTCCTTCAGGTCTTTTATTTTGAAGTCCAAATCTCTCCTGCTAATCACTTTGTCATATCTTAATATTAATCTCCACTTTCAATTTCTTCCTTCAACTGTCTCCTTCTCCTCCTCTTCTGTTATAAGCCCTCTCTTCTCTCTTTGCAGTGTTCAACAAGGAATGCTCTGCGCCATGAAGGGGCCCTTTCACAACTAAAGTCTTGACTGTTATGCAGGGATATTTATAAAGTGGTAATTAATCCAAGGCCCCCCTCTGAAGTTAAGTCTGATATTTTCCTCTTTCTCACGCACACTTGCATGTATGGCTCAGGGGCACATGCTTGCAGATGTGAGAAGAAAAAAAAAAAAGAGCTAAAAATATTTTTGGACTCAGTAAATGAACGAGCCGTCACCTACTTATGAAGTTTGTGGACATTTTTGCAAAATGCATGAGAAGTCAGGAAGTGTAAGGAAAACATTTGAGCACAATGTTTGTTAAAAATAAACAAATAAAGCAGTGTTTTCTGGTTTGCTAATGTGGTTTGTTTGCATAATGCTTTTGTTTTGATGTATTGTCAAAATGTGTTTTGTGAAAAGTCACGTTTACAGCTTTCTTGTTTTCTGACAGTGAAGCTTTTCAGAAATGTCTGGTTCGACTTTTGTTGTCATGATTTGCAGCTGTGTTTTTTGAAAATGGTAATTTGTAAAACCATGTATTTAGTTTTTATGCATTTTGATTAATGTCAGCATCTCTTACCCATTAGCGTTAGCATGATGTAGTGCTGATCCTGCATTAAAAAAAAAATTGTTTTGCTTTATTGCTGTGCATCTCGGTTCATGTTAATCGATTAGATGGATGAAGGAATTAGATTAATCTGATCGGTGATAATGAATATAAGGATTCCTGGCTAGCAGCAGCAGCACACATTTCAGTACCTGTAGCCTGTTTCATTAGAAGGTGTTTTCATTTTAAATTCACTTGAATAATTACAGTGGCGACACGGTGCATCAGCTGGAAGAGCTGTTGCCTCTCAGCGAGAAGGTCGCCGGATCACTGTTACACTTGAATTTCCCATCCATGGGACAATAAAGGCTGTTTCTATTCTAGTCTATTCTATCAAATCCCAGCCAGGGACCTTTCTGGGTGGAGTATGCATGTTCTCTCCGTGGATGCATGGGTTTTCTTAATGCATTCTGGTTTCCTCCCACAGACCAAAAACATTCATGTTAGGCTGATTGGTAACTGTAAATTGTCCCTAGCTGTGAGTGAGAGAGTGAATGGTTGTTTGTCTCCATGTGTCCCTGTGATGGACTGGAGACCTGTCCAGGATGTCCTCCGCCTCTCACACAGTGACTGCTGGAAATGGGCACCAGTGAGTAATTAAAAATTAATTCAATCAGTGTTTTTGCTTAAAATGCCCATACTTTGTCCCTCGATACTTTGTGGTTCAATATTCAGGAACTCGCTCTTTTACCGGTTTTTAAAGCAAGATTGTACACGACATACAATTCTCAGCTTTAATGTTACTCACGTGATTGGGACGGTACATGATGAAACGTTAACGGGAGCAGGAACCAACCAATAGGACAAAAAAAAAAAAAACTTTGAACAGGAACAGCCATTTTGTAGTTTTCTTTCAATAAGCCTATACTGTAATGCAAGTCAAAAGAACTACACTACCCAGAAGCCAACGGTACTTCCGGCCACTGCTTTCTGCCAAAACTCAAAGAACAGCAATGGAGGGCGCAAACACTACCAGAGAAACTGAACCAAATGTACTTCAGACAGGCGCTGCCATTTTGTAGTTTTCTTTCCATGGTAAGTAAGTAAAACTTTATTTATATAGCACTTCTCAGGATAAAAAAATACAAAGTGCTTTGACAAACAAAATAATAATAAGCATAATAACAACAATAATTTTGTTTTATTATTATAATTTATTAATAATAATAATAACAGTAAGCCTTCACTGTAAAGCAAGTCAAAAGAACTACATGGCCCAGAAGCCAACAGCGCTTCCTGCCACTGCTTTCTGCTGAAACTCAAAGAAGAGAAACTGATGTGGTAAAAATAGTTTTGGGAAGGGTTTATAAAGGCTTAAAATATACATAAATATTAAAATAAATATTGCGTTCCTACTTTGTGGTTTATCACCTACCGCGGTGGTGTCTGGAACGTAACCCCCCCCCCCTTTATTTGAGAGACTACAATACATTATTTAGTTTGGGTATCTTTGCTTTTTCCAGTTTCAGGCTGTCCAAAAATACACAAATACACTAACTACAATACTAACTTAAAACAAATGAAGTTTCCTCGTTTCCTCTCAGAGCTCCCCCGGAAAGTTACCTTTCTGTAGTTCGTGATGCGTCGATTGATGTGCTCCACCCTCTCGCTGCACATGGCACTGAAGCGTACGTGCATTTCCTCAGGTATCACGTCACAGCTGGAACTCAACCTGCCGCACATCTGCACCAGCAGGTCGTCGTTTCGTGCCAGCGCCTCCAGGATCTGGTCCCCAAAAGGCCAAGCAAAGATCGAGATGAATAAATGCCTCAAATCTTTCCTAAAGCTACAAACTGAATGTAAATGCTCAATCAAGATCTCCATTCAGCAGATTTTTTTTTTTTTTTTTTTTTTTTTTTTTGACTGCAGAATTTACTTTTCATGTCACAAGCATTTGAAGTCAACTATATAAACTTCTCATGTTGTATCCATAAATTCATAGTGATTGTTCAGATCATAAGATTAGATATGACAAGAACAGGAAGCTGAATCTCTGAGCCTTGAGATGAGATGAAAGTGAAGCTGGGGAGAAAAGCTGCAGGAAGAGACAAAATGGTGATACCAGCATTAAAACACAACACAAACCCCTGAGGAAGGCATAATACACTGGAGCAGCTGTTCATAATAATAAAATTACTTTCACTTCTGAGCGATTTTAAAACTGTTTGTACCAAGAGAGTTTTACTTTAGTGGATGTCAGTACGGTTTATTTTCAGATGCAGCTTTTTTTTTTTTTTAAATGGCTGTAAATCTCCATCAAATCCAGACGTGTGCCCACATTTGATCTCAACTAATTCATTACAAGAGAGACAGACTATTCACCAGGAGTTCTGGCAGAAAGATGCAGAAAGCTCTTTGTTTCTACTCCAGCAAGCTCTTCATGTCTAAGTGGATCTTCAGGCCTCTGTGTGTCCTAAATCAATAATGATCATTCAGTAAACATCACTGCTGGGATGTAAAAAGCATGCTCTTAAGTCAGGCGGGAAATAAGCGAGCTGAAATAAAGCTGTCAGCTCTAACTAGCTTCAAACCCGTCGGTCGACACACCCAGAAAAAAAGAAAAAGCCTGACTGATTTAACTACGCTGAAGAACTCAGAGCAGAAAAATACCTTCAGGATTCATGCTGAATTTGTGTTTTGTTTTAAATTAGAGTCACAGCAACATCTTTTAATTAGCAGACTAATATTTATGAAAAATCTCAGACATTTTCCTTATCAAAGCAGCAAATATCCAGCCTATAAAGATTTTTCTTGTTCATAATTAGGTTTGGATTCAATTTACGCTCCTATTTAGCTTGATGTGGCAGAAGTTTTTTTTATTTTTTATTATTGTTTGCGTCCTCAGAAGGCCTGTCACGATAACAAATTTTGCTGGGCGATTAATTGTCTCAGAAATTATTGCGATAAACGATAATATTGTTTGAAATTTAACAATAATTAGTGTCGAATTTTATAACAAATGTTGATTTGTTTTGAGTGTAGTACCTTTTTTAACCACTGGATGGCAGTATAAGACTGTTTGAACCGAAGGATGGCTAGTGAGGGAGCTAGCAGCATGTCTCTTTAAGAAAAATGGGAGTGGGTTGACTTGGTGACATGGCGGACCCTCGGTGTGGTTTGAGCTCTTAGCATAGCGTTTTTCACACAAAGCTTTTAATTTAAAAAACAGTAAACAACTTTTTTTACACGAAGGCACCGGTTTCAACCATGAATTTGGAGCTCGACAAGAAGGAGTTTTTTTCCCCGCCGAGGTCGGCCTGTTAGCTGAGCTCGTAGCTTAGCTGCTTTTAACGATCCAAAAACGCAATTTTGGATGTTAAAACGTATTTTTAAGAGAAAAGAGAAAGGGAGGGCTCAGTGAAGAACACCGGAACTGAGCCGTGTCTTCAGTAGAAAGAGAGAGACACAAAGAAACGATAAAGCCGATAAATGAAAAGGAGGTTGATAATTTTCATTTATCATGCGATTAATTGATTTATTGTTTATTGCGACAGGCCTAGTCCTCAGCGTTATCCAAAGTTAACAAGCGACAACTCTACCATTAACAGCTTTCTTGTTTTTTCTGCCATCTTTTTCTCCTGATTTAGAAAGCTAACCAATATTTTAAATATTTAAATTAAAAAATAAAACAACAAGCTACATTCTGATTGTTTTTATATTTTGTTTGACACCCTTCTACTTGGGCTTTACAAGAATTAAAACAATAAGAAGAGGTCCCAGCTGGTAAAATGAGCTACAAGTGCCACCAAGTTCCCATAACAAGTATAAAAATAACTCAACTTTACTATTTTTTTCAACAAAAACTCCTTATTATAACTCTTTCCTTTTCTGTCATTCATATATACATATATCATGACCTGTGTCATTAAATGCGATAACACGGGCAAAAAGAATAGATGGTTCACCAGCATGCACAGTAAAGAAAATCCTCTATAAGCATAACTGCATTTAAAATACTAAAAACTGCCATAAAAGCATAGTAAAGTAAATTATAAAGTGTAGTAAATTAAGTTGTAAGAGCAAATATTTTGTGATGTTTTCTCATTCAACCTTTAATTATATGATTGGTAAAATTACTGCAAATAAAAAGTCAGCTCATCTGCTGACTTCATTGAGACAAATAAACAGTGTTCTCTGGGAATGATTAAAAAAATACTATTTTTAGTGTCGTTTTAATGAACTGCTCTTTTAGAAACCTTAATGAAAATTCTGTTTAGTTGAGACTTTATTCAAAGCGGATTACAAGCAGTTGCATTTCTCTTTAGTTTAATGTTTAAGTGTTTTTAGAGCTGTTGGGCCCTCTGGGGTCACTGTCAATCATGCAACAGCATTATATTCACATAATTAAACAGCAGTGATGTTATGTTCACAGTGAAGCTGTAAAATAGCTGATGGCTGTCATCACATCGTTCAGCTGTGGAGAAGTTTTACAAGTTTAAATGTGAAGCCGCTGGTCATTTTGCCTGTTTCTCTTATATCATGTCAGGTAATTTAACTAACATAGCTATTAAAAAAGTGACTCAAATGGTTCCGAAGCATATTAAGGTCAAAATATAAATATAGATCAGATGTGTGAATGTGTTGTAGCTTTTACAGAAACCAACAGAGCTGCTGATGTGCTGTTTGTTGCTCATGGACAGCCCACCGTGTGACACAGCAGTGTGTGTATCTGTATACAGTGCGGGTAACTGATATCAGAAAATATTTGAAAATACTCCAAATGTGAGTGGAGGGGTCAGGCCTGACCACACAGCTGAATCACCTGAAATAGATGCAAAACGTTTTGGAAAAAAACAAATGTGAACTAGAGAAATTGAATTTCCTGTGAAAATGCAGTATGAATGTATATTGCTGAAGAACTTGCTGAAAAACAGCTAAAATTACCTAAAAACATGCTGAAATGTAGCTGAAATGAGAAGCATATGTTAGCAGAATAAAGCAGAAAGAACACATATTTGCGGAATTAGATTTAAATAAGCAGAAATTACCAGTAGTACAAATATTAGGAAATTAGCTAAAAAAGCTGAAATTAGCCCATACAAAAAAATAGCTGAAAAGTTGCTGAAAAGGCAAAAAGAAGCTTAAACTACCAGAAGGAAGTGGAAGGAGCTAAAATGAGCTTAAAAATGTGTAATTAGTTGAAAAAGCTAAACTTAACACAAAACAGCTAAAAAGTAGCTGAAATAGCAGAAAAAGCTGAAACTATCAGAAAAAAGCTGAAAGGAGCAAAACAAGCTGAAATTAGCAGAAATAAGTTAATTAGACTGAAAGAAGCAGAAATGAGCACAAAACAATGGAAATTATATGAAAACAGCTCAAGTTAGCTAAAAGGGTAGTTGAAAAGGTAGAACAAGCTTCAATTAGCATAAAAAGGCAGAAAGAACACATGTTTGCCCAATTAGGCTGAAAGCAGCAGAAATGAGCACAAAAAAGCAGAAACTGAAAAAAGCTGAAATTAACCCCCCCCCCCAAAAAGCTGAAAAGTAGCTAAAAAAAAGCAGAAAGAAGCTTATATTACCAGAAGGAGGTGGAGAGAGCACATTTTTGCTGAATTAGGCTGTAAAAAGTTGAAATGTGTGCAAAAAATGTGGAATTAACTGAAAAAGCTAAAATTAGCATAAAAACAGCTAAATAATAGCTGAAATAGCAGAAAAAGCTGAAACTTGCAGAAATCATCTGAAAGGAGCATAACAAATGCGTTGCTGCTCGGGCCTAATTAGCAAAAAGAAGCTAGCAGAAGCACAAAAATGTTGCAGTTAGCAGAAATAATCTGAAAATCTGGGGGAGTGGTGGCGCAGAGGTTAGAGAAGGTGGGCCTGTGATCGGAAGATCGCCGGTTCAAGCCCCGGTACCGACAACATCAAAAATGTGGGTGGGGTAGGTGAAGCACCCACACCTGCCCCCACCCTCATTCGCCCCACCCTGTCTTGAAAATGAGTTATTGTGGCTCAATGAGACTACCTGTATAAATAAAGGGTAAATGAAATAAATAAATACATAAATGAAAAGAGCACAAAACAGCCGAAAAAATAGCTGAACGTTGCTGAAAAAAGTTGAGATTAGTGCAAGGAAGCTGAAAGAAGCTGAAGTAGAACAAAATGTGAAAGGAGCAGTAAAAAGTTGTAAACAGATCTAAAGGCCTGAAAAATGTAAAATGAGCTGAATTCATTTTCTAAAAAATAAGTGGCAGAAAAGGCTAAATATTTCAAAAAGCTAAAGTTGCACCAATACCAACAGGATACATAGCAGGATTGTCCTGAATGAGCTGAACGTTGATATATGATTTGTTGAAATAGCACAAACACTGTGGAACAAGAAAGATGCTGAAAAATGTACAGAAGAAAAATGGATCACAGTAGTGTGGATGCTTCATAAACATTCACACAATGAGGCGTTTAGCATCATATAAATATGTGCTGTCAGGACTACGCCCTCCAACCAAAAGTCACAACGTTTAATACCAAGTGGCATTAAATTGTTACAGCTTCTCTGATATTGTTTGATGTAATAATCAAGTATATCAAAGAAGGAATCTGTAAACAAATCAAGTCCTTGCACTCGTGGGTGGATCTAGAACAACGGCTGACGATTCATATACAGATTTATGGAGGATTGTAGCGTAATCAAACATGCAGTTCAGTAGAAATTGCTGCGTCTACTATCAGTTTCTGACTAAATTAGGTTACATAAATGGAATAGAAAGAGTACCTTAGCAGTGAGGCTGAAGAATCCTTTTGGTTCCACCATTTTCTCCAGTACATGGCACTTGATGCCAGATGTGCTGTCATACTCGTACACCACTCCATACTCCAGGTGGACATTGTCCACTGTCAGACTGACATGGTCTTTCTTCCCATCAATGATGGCAATTGTGTTGAACTTGTCCATCACCTCTGAAGTTGGGGAAGAACACAAAAACAGTGGCATAATATATTTTCACCGACTGCTACACAAACCAGACAGCACAACTGCATAAATACTGTTGCCAAGTGTTTTCAATGCAACATTCAACAAAAAAGGAGGCCTAAGACCACCAAATCTGCACCTAATTTTAGAGAAGCACCCGCAGCTCATGGCTTCCCTCAATCAACCCCCATTTTAAAAATGACGAGCAATTCCAACAGCACTTAGATAACCAGCCTTATGCTAATGCAATGACTTAATACAGCAATAAATTGTGCTGCGGAGCGATTTGCTCTGAGGGGAATTACTTTCCTGCTTTACTCTCTCGCTGGGATCTATAAATTGTTGGGGGAGAATTAACACTTGATGAGCCAGGAGTGGCAGCTGTTTTCAGACTAACACGTTCCAGATGTTTGGAGCTGAATCTTACTTCTTAGTGCAAGAGGCAATGGTTGTGTTTCTGTGAACAAGCATGGGTTCCATCCACAAACACCTTGACGGCACATTATTTCACAAATGGGTGATTTCAGTGGGCTTTCAGCGTGTGTGGTCACCTTCTACTTTGCACTCGAAGCCGTCTCCGTTCTCCTCGGGGGTGGGTTTCTGCTTGGTTTTCTGATTTTCCTCCTGGGCACTCTCGCTGTTGTTGTATACCCACCTAATTGTGTCTTGCTGTAAATAAAAAATCAAATATTTCAAATACAAGTATATAAAATAGCATCAGAGCTGTTTAACCTTTGAGCATGTGCATTTTTATTAACAACTTGTAAAAAAAAAATATTGTAGACGCAACTGACATGGACAGTTATTGTTTCAAAGTTTAACAAAGTGTTAAATTGGAGGATTTTTCTGCTTTTAAATTCATTTTTACTCATGTTAAGATAACAGAGTGTTGGATTTCCTCTGGACATATGTAGCATCACGTAGAGTAACCATATTGATGTTGCAAGCTATCAGCTGTTTGTGACGGCTAAAAATGAGCAATTTATCCATACTTTTTTCCTTGTTAAAAAAAAGACTCAAACAAATGTTTTGTTTATAGAAGTGAAAAAAAAAAACAGTCATTGCTCAGAGATGAACCACTCATCCTTCTTTTTAAGATATTACTGTTTTGAAACAAACGTTAGCAACAAGAATTAGCATGTTTAACAGTAAAATAAAGAACTGACTGCAGGTTCGCTGTCAGTATTTCATGCTTACACTACTTTAAAACCAACGTAATAACAGAAAAGTAGTAAAATAAGCATGTTTACTAAGTTTAGCAGGTATTTTCATTCATTCATTCAACCTTTATTTATACAGGTTAGTTCCCATTGAGCCTCGAGAACTCATTTATAATAGAGACTTACATACAGACATACAAAGTAGATGAGGAAAAGAGAACACAAGATGGTAGAGGAGGTAAATAAAATCATATCTCACACCATGTCCTGGCCGGGGCACAGTGTGGAAATTGCAAAAAAAGACCTCTCAACATAAACAGCAACATACAATGACATCATAATACATTTATGCATGAGGTGGTCAACAAAGGCGGTGAGATGTCTGTGGACACTGCCAGAAAGTTCCATAGTTCTGATAAGATTGTACAGTGTCTATCAGCGGCTCAGTTCTGATAAGGCCCACAGATGTTTGTTTGTTTTTTTTTTTTTTGGGGGGGGGGGGGGGCAGCAGAGCTTTGTTATTCACATAACCTCTGGGAGAAATTTGAGATAGCTGGTCTATTCAAGGCCAAGCGGGGAGCCAGATTTGATAACAACAATTGTTTTGGGACAGGCAGACTCTGCGTGATTTTTTTTTATTTTTTTTTATGTCTGCCTTCAAAGTTCTGCTGGTACTTCTCAATGGTGAATCCGAACAGCCAAATTCTGTGGTCATTCCTCCGGACCGTGCTTGTAACTTTCCCCAAGGTCGAATAATTCATGCCATTGCGTTCCAGAAGCCGCAAGAGGCCTGCTTTTCTCAGAAATTGCATCCAGCTTACGGCTTAGTTCGAGAAGCAATTGAGTCTGGGTGCTCGAAGCACGGCACATTCCTTCACACATAACAGGCAGCTTCAAAACTGCCAGATCCACTACCGACATCTTCTGAATTTGTCGATAAGCCAGAAACCCACTGATTCCAAAAAGCAGAAATCCCGCTATCATAAATCCAATTATGACAATAAAGAAACTCTGACTCTGATTATGTACACGTCTTCTACATCCTCAACAGACAATACGGACAGACACATCATATCCACTGTCCCCAGGAATCCATGGTGTATCCCGAAGCAAATGTCCCTTCAGGGCATGAGGGCTCTCCTTCACCCTGTCTTCTCGTCTCATCTCATATTTATTCTATATTTGTGTGTACTTCTGTTACCAAACATTTAAACCATACATTTTATATTCAATAGCAAATTAAGGTATCATTCTTGATCTTCAAAATAATTTTAGTCAGCAAAAATTTCAAATCAGCATCAACTTACTGTCAAACAAATCCACCAGATGTCATCACATTATCCTAATTTCACTCATTAACAAAATGGTCTATTTACTGTTTTTTTTGTTTGTTTGTTTTGTTATAAATCTAGCTTTCATTGAAGGAGGGCATAACTCCCTGTGCATCCCAAAGATTTTAACAAAATTCTTGTGCAATTGCTCAAAATATGCATTGGGTAGGACTCTCAGCTACTGCCATGCCAAACTTCAGCTTATCATCTGCAAAACTGAGTTATGAACATTTCTGTTTTGGTGACCATTTTGAATCAGGTTGACTCCAAAAGGTATTCAGTTGTCGATGTGCATTTAATGGTTTCTTTTTGAGAGTTTCATCTTTCATTGTGGCGTGCATTAATAAAAATAGCTGAACTCAGCTGAAAGTTGTGTTCAGCTCATTCTGCTCAGTTATGGTGTTCAGTGTCAGCTTGGTTGGTAGATCCTACAACAAAGTCTTCACAAACACATGGAAATATAGTGAAACTGCAAAAGCAACCCCGTGCCAATCTAATCAAGCCATTGTAGCGTGCCTCACAGGCCTGTGTGTGTCTGTTCTCCACACCCAAACCCACACAGGGTTTTCTGCCAAGGCTACACACTGCGCCTGGTTTTCCCATGTACGACCCCAACACGCAAACACACATAGAATGAGAAAAAGAGGGTGGTTCCTCTGTGTCCACACCAGCTCTCCAGTAGTTTTTTTTCTTCTTCTGTTTTAAAATCGTAGTGCATCATTAAGCTCAGAGTCCAAACTTGAGTTCAATTATAATCATACACACACCCTGGGGGTTATTATTTTCAACCATTTCCCACCTTCAACAGGTGGTCCGAGTCTGTTCTCTCCTCCTACACGTGTCTGCTTTCAACCACTCTCCCAGAATAAAACAAGCTGTCTGGCAGACCACCATTTTTCTTATCCTTTACCATCTCACTATGCCGTCACATCAAGCCCACCACAGTGAGCCAGGGGTCATCGCTGCAGGAGCAAAACCACTATTATTTCTGTGTAATGACCCAAAATAAATAAAAATGGAGTTGAAGGTAAACAGGAGATATAGGAGGGCTGTTTGGCATGTTTATAACTAGTTCTTATGTTCCTTTTGTTTGCTCCTGTGCAGCCTCGTGTCGTTTCTGCTTTCAGTTCCATTACATAACAAAACGTGAGCAAACAGTTCAAAATGTCACCACCAGCAAGCAGTCATTCAAAGGCCTGAAACTGGTCACACAAACAAAAACAACCTAACCCTTATTGATGGGCTTTCTCAAAGTAAGTTGTATTATAAATAAATTAATAGTACAAAATAAAAACGTTTGATAAATACGTCTCCACGTGATTTAAACTGCAGTTAGTATCTTCTCTTCCGGCCTCACCTGGGTCGGTCGCCTGTACTTTCGGCACGCTGTGACATGAGCGATGACACTGGCGTGGCTCTCCTTGCTCACGTTGATGCCATTCACCTTGATGATGCACTGGCCCGGGTGGAGACCGGCAATGGCTGCCACCGTGCCTAGCATGAAACAGGAAAGCAGGTGAAAAGGGAAGAAATTATGTAAAAGGTACAGATCAGGCACGCATGACCGTGCAGGTGCAAGCTCAAGGACCATGTACATACAGTACAGTATACCCGTACATCTTAGAAAACAATAAGGTTCTCCACATTCCACATATAAAATTGAGGCGAGTAACATTTCTTTTCCTTCTCAGTATTTAGCTCTTTCTTTCCTGTTTTTAGCAGCTCAGGAGGAGTGTGTGCGCGTGTGATCAGCAGAGGGGGGAAGTTATTCATCAAGACAAGTCATGAATCAGGTTGTAGGATAACGTCAAGGTTTACAGATTTCAGAAGGAAGCACATGACAGACTAAACATTTCCCTCATTTTTTTCTCTCCTTAAGAGTTCACCAAGCATACCTCAAATAGTAACATAAAACATACATGAGGCTCTGATCTGGTAATTGTACAGACAGACCCCCCCCCCCCCCACACACACACACACACACACACACTTTGGCTGAATACAGACATTTAGATCCAATGTAGGTTAAAAAAACATCAACAAATCGTGCAAAAATTGTTATATAATGGTTAAATGCATACATCATATGGACGAGTTTGCTTCTATATGGCTGCACAACAAACCTAAACTTATCAATATCACAATAGAAGTATACACAATAATAATATTACAGAGGAGTCTAAAATATTGAAGACACAAATCCGTCCATTAGATAGACCCTTACACCTTTAAATGTTCACAGTCAGCACTAGCAACATTTGGTGGATTTGGACCCAAGACGCAGACTGGAACACGAGGATCGTGATAAAACAACTATTTATTTTAGCTAAACAAAAACAAATTGCAAAAAGTTAACCAGAGGGAAGACCAAGGGAAGATGAAAACAAGACTGCTGAAACAGAGACTGAATAAATAGAACAGGAGTAAATAGAAAGTGGAGACACCTGGGTGAATATGCATGGGGACAGGTGAGGGTGGCAGACTAACCAAAAAAACACAGAGGAAATTGACGGTATATGAGAAATAGTACAAGGAATACTGGGAAAGATACTGGGATACTGGGACAAGACCTACACAGTAATACTAAAATAAACCTAACATTGTAGTACAAAAACACAGACTGGACCAGATCTAAACAGAGAAGGAAAAGAACAGAACCAAAGTAAAAGAATAATCAGGTAAACAGTAATCCCAAGATACAGAAAGCAAAACTAGGAAACCAGCTCTCCAAACACAAATAACCAAACTACACGGATATCACTGAGGGTGTTATAAGCATTGTGATGACTGAAAATGTGTTTTTATTGCAACTAATCTCATAAATGCAATATTTTCCAATATTATTGCAAACACAATTTATCTTAATTTCATGAAGCATACATTTATAAACTTTTTTTTAATGTTTTGTTAAGGAAGACTCAGTTCAAAATACAAAGTAAATATTCACAATGAAACAAGCAAGTATACTGAATCATATCCTGTTTCATCTTATCATACCTTATTGTATCATATTCTATTGTGCCAAATCATACAGAATTACATCATATCATCCATCCATTCACTCATCCATGTTCTTTACCCACTTCTCTGTATCATATTTTGTATGGTATATTTCTAACAATTGCAGGATGTCTTTATGTTTTTCTGACTTCAAGGTTCTTGTTGAGATTAACTCCAATTTTCTTTCAGCTAAAAGCATAAGCAATTACAACACTAGGGTTAAACAACTCAAAAACCAAGGGTTCTTTGCACATCCAGCCTCGGTAAAGTTTCTGCCTCTAATTGGTATTACTCACTCCTGGTGACCTAAAACCTCAAGGAGACTGGAGCTGTTGTGAAAATCTGAGGGATTAGACATCTCCTACTTTATGAGCCTTGTCTCTGTGGATTGGCGCAACTACTTAAACACACAGCAGGCTTTCAGAAAACAACATCATCAAGTCAACGCATGCGCACGCATGCATGCACAACACAGTTAAAAGTGCATACCCAGCACTTTTCCAACCTAGCATCCCACTTTGATTGCTTAAAGAAAAAGAAAAAAAACAAGATTCAATTCCTCTGAGAAAAGCCAGACAAGACGGTGGATTGTTTTTTGATTGGAGCTTATTTTGTGCCAGCCCTGATAGCGGTGCAACTAAACAAGCTCAGTTCTGTAAGAATAGAGAGCAGGACTCAGATGAATGCAGACTAAAGAATGCAGAAAGCTTTCACATTGTGCAGAAAAAAATGATCCACCAAGAAAAACTTGAATAGGTGCATGGAAATCATTGTGACACTTCACGCCACAGCCAAGTCACGCACATCCCCCAAGACTGATGTAGCAGCTGCTTGCCAGCTGTGTCACAATAACAAAGGGAAGTCTATGCCTGATGAATCCAGACAGCTATCTCTTACCTCTTCCAACAGCATGAACCACAGAGGGGCCAAATCCTCGAATCTGGAAGCCCAACCCATCAGCAGAGTCTGGGATCTTTATCGTCCTAGAGAGGAAAGAGGAAATGTACTGAGAATGTGCATTCATTTTAAATTTGACAGTAACTGTGCATGAACAGAAGTGCCTTACTCTCTTGGCTTGGTGCTGACCAACACCCTAAGGGGTCCCTTGTTGTTGAAACATTGCCTGAGGACAACTTCCACTTCAGAGAAAGGCCTCAGGAACACCAGATCTCCGTTTATGGCAAACAACTTCTTCCCCACTTCCAGGCCAGCCATCTTATAAAAGAAAACATTACACAATAAAAGAAAAGAATAAGAAAAGCATAACATTTTTCTGGGCATGCATTGCAGAATCAATCACAAAATATTATTTTCCAAACTAAAATTGACAATAAAAGTCACAAAAAGGAGCACACACCAATACGTCCAGCAATAAGACAACATATAGACTTAACTATTTCCAACTACAGCTGGATTCTGTTAATTATAACAATGCATTCCTGCATTTAAACCAAACTCACCAAAACTTTCCAGTCCCCTTTCCAATAAATAAAAACTACAATTGAAAGGAGACCTCTAAAGACTTTACTTTTCTATTTAAAAAAAAATCCTAAACTGGGTTTACCTTTAATGTACTTTTTCTTTTCAAATGTTATAATTAAGTAAAAAATATATAAAAAAAAAAAAATCTGATTACTGTTTAATCAGTGATCTGGAAAATGAAGACAAACTCAAATAAAGCTCTTATTTTGGCATCCAACGCTGTGCCTTAATACAGGTAATGTCCTTTCAAGTTCCATTATTTCTACGATAAACAGTGGAAATAATTTTAAAAGATTCTCACCAGAAGAACAACAATCTATTCTGTTTTGTCTTATTGGAAGCACGAAGCACGAAGGAGCACGAGTGAAGCTCGTCCTAACGATCATTGCTTATTGCTGTACATGACCTCTTTTAAGCTTTTACTGCAAAGTGAACACAGAAAAATAGATCTGATCACAGATTATATCTGGGAAATGAGATTGTCTTTGGGGAAAAGGAACTAATTTAAGTCCAGGCAATTGAGCAACATTTGAAGAATCTTCAAGACAAATTTCCCCCAGTTAGCTGGCCTTACTTCAGTTCCTCTGTAACTAACGTAGCTTTAGCTGTTGCTTGATGCTGTTAGACTCATGAATCCCTAATCAGGATTATCACTGTGGGAAAAAAAATCACTGTAATGCCACTTGATTGTTGATGTGTTGTTGACTATCCATGCTGCTGATTTATTTCATGCTGCTGTTTTCATTTGTACTCATCTGCTCACACAGACTCATGTTTGTGCTGCTGCTGCTCGGCGTATTGTTTTTGTACTATTAAGTGTTTAGCGTATTTCTTAGTTCATATCTTAGATCTTATTACCGTTTTTCTTTTACATCTTATTGTTGGATGTAACTCGGACCCTGTGTACACAATTTCGTTCCACCACATGTACCACATGAGATGCGAATGACAATAAAGAAAACCTTGATCTTTAGTTTTAGCCAATGAAATGCTAATCCAGCTAGCCACCTGCTATGTGAAGCAGAAATCTTTGTTGCTATATTGCTCTACCTATATGGACGCTTCTACTTCCACTTTCATATACAAACCAATAAATCCAACACTTCTGTTATGTACCATTTACAAAATGAGTCTGCGTAAGGGACTGATGGGTCTGTTTATTGTCCAACGTCTCACCTCAGCTGGGGAGCCTTTCTCCACATATTTGACGATGGGGACTCTGTTTCTTTCTTCCAGAGTAAAACCATAGCTTCCGTCACTTGGTCTTATCTGGTAAAGAAATAACGTGTTTGATATCAGCAAAATTCTAAGACAGCTTACTGAAACACTTTTACAAAACACACACACCACAAGAAGAAGATGTAGGAATAGGAAGATAGCAGATATTGTAGGTTTTTTTTCCTCGCTCCTCTGAAAAGAATGCTTTTCTTGCTTTCTTTGAGCTAAAATGGACTTTTGCAGTGTTATCATTTTTTGTCCCACAGCTGTGGACTTCAAAATGATTTACTGGGCTTTTTCTTTAGCTCGGGTTGTGGCAAATTACTGCAAATTTTAGCATACAAGAAAGTCAAAATGTTATTTAAAAAAAAAGGTCAACTTACCAGGAGCGACTTTGTGATGACGTTTTCCACTATTTTCAAATCGTGCTTCATGGGTTTGTGTTTCGTGTTGGATCCCTCCATCTCTTCATCCGCAAAGAAACGGAACAACAAAGGCTCATCTTTGAATTCACTCTTTTCCAACACTGAGGAAAAAAGGCACAGCTAAATGATATTAGTGAACCTATAGAATAATCACATTTAAAAATAAAACATGGTATCGAACTGAAAAAGTCAGATCAGTGAATTTACAAGTTAAGCTCATTTGTTTTCAACAAATTGGTTGTGACCCTTTTGATTAATAGGAATGAATAGTCAAAGCCGTGATAGCAGTAAAGTACAATATTTACCACATATTTAATGGGAATAAAAACATTCATACGTGTGGCAAACAGTTTAAGGCAGTAAAATCTATAGTTTACTGAAATTATTTGTCTGAAAACACTTGTTGGATTTGCGTCAACCAGTTTGCTGGTGATCCGCTTTGCGACTGTGCTGCTTCTAAGAATGAGTTTGCTGCAGCTCCTCAGACTGAAGAAGTCTGTTGGATAAAAGACAAAGCTTTTCATGACAGAGGAAACTATCCAGAGGACCTGACTCAATCAACCGTGTTAGATTTATCTACCTGGATTATTGAGCATGCACCAGGACTTACTGGATTAACTAATAATCATGATAATGGGAAAGCCTAAGGAACATTGAAGCTCTAAGAAGAAAAAAATGTAGATTTACACAAGTTGGGAAAGGCTAAATTTCAGATTCTGAAATCATCAGTTCAAAACACTATACATAAGAAAAGTTATTCGGGTCACCATTTGGACATTTGGAAGAAGATCCAGTCACTTTCAGATGAAAGGAAATTGCTTAGGATGTTTAGCAACAACCCAGTAACCACCAAGCCTCAAGCCTACCATGAACTGGAAACTACTGGCGTTCCAGATCACAGTTCACAGAGACACAACCTCATAAACATAAGGGGAGCCAACCAAGAAAAAAGCTCTTACTCCAAAAGCCACACCTTGAAGCTCAACAGACATTTGCAGCTGCCTGCATGGACAAGCCAAATGTACTCTGGAAGAAAGTTTTATGGTCGGACAAAAAAACTAAAATCTACAGTTAATAGTCACAACAACGAGAATTCATTGCGTTTGGAGGACTCAAAGAGAGGCTTTCAAACTTAAGAAAGCTGCACTGTCAAGCATGGAAGTGATAGAAACATGCTGTAGCACTAGTGCCTTGCACAAAGTGGATGGAATAATGAAGAATAAAATTATTCAATCTCATCTTCAGTCAACAGCTACAGAACAATAATCCCCAACACACATCAAGACTGGTTTCTGAATGGATAAATCAGGCTAATATCAAGCTTCTTGGATGGCCTTCTCAAAACCATGACCTCATCCACATTGAAATTTTGTTGACTAAGTTTAAAAGCCAGGTAAATGACAAGAAACTGACCAATTAAAAAAAATATATACCAATTTTACCAAGAAGAGTGGTAAAATACCCAGCAAGAATAATGCTAGAAGCCTATTAATGGATATAATAGGCTTGAGGGCAGCTTTGGCTTAGTGGTTAGAGCAGCTGTCCTCCAATGTAAGAGTTGGGGGTTAGAATCCACCAGCAGTCACATGCTGAAATGTCCCTGGGCAAGACACTGAACCCCTTATTGTCTCTGATGTGTGTCTCATCGGTGTATGAATGTGCTCTAAAACTCTGATTAGTCTCTTTAGAATGAGTTGTTCAATTAGCTTTGTATAGATCTAGTAGAGTGCTGTATGAATGGGTAAATGAGGGCACAGATTGTGTTGTAAAGCACTTTGAGTGTCTTGATAAGATAGATAGGCGCTACATAAGTACAGTCCATTTACCGTTTATAAAAAGTGCGCAATTGAGATGCAACTTGCTAAGAGGCACGTAGCCAAATATTGGTTGGTATATATGTAAACATTTGAGCAAGTATGTAGTTTGTTGTATAATTATTCCACCCTACAAAAAATACAGTTCAAATAAGTCATTCAGCCATTAAAAATGTAAAAAAACAGCCCTGAGGGGGCAAAACAAGAGCTTCATTTGACATTTTTCTTCCTAATTTCCCCCAAGATCAGATATAGCGCCAGTAGCTTTAATAGCTACATCGTCAGGCCAAATAACTCGCAGGCACGAATGGTAAAATTACCCTGCAGGCCGTGGCAGCTAAAGGATGTTGGATGGCTGAGGTTGTTATGTTCCATAGATGTACAGATAATTTGTAGTGTGCGGCTTGAACTCTGGATACTCTGGACAAGTTACATCATAGGGGCATGAGAAGACACGGTGTGACTCATGCTGTATGATGTGGACTTTGGCGCAAATTAGGTGTGGACCTAAAAACAAATGTGACTCTCATAAACAAAGTGTAACCATGGCTACTGTCCATTTGAATTCAGAAAAGCAAACCATGCATGAGCTCAAAACATGGTTACTTAAGATACATGCACACAAGTATGCATAAAAAGAACCACAGACACTGAAACTTTTTCACTGGTCTGGGGGGAAAAGTTCTATTTCTGGACAAAATCAAAGGAGTTTAAATGGAAAGAGAACAAGACCGGTTGTGTTCGCTAAATGCCAAGATCCTACGTACAGTGTCTCTAAAGCACTGAAGTTTAATTTGGTCTGTGATGGAGAAGTTTCCATGGTTTACGTGGATCAGAAGCTATTCTGGTTTCTTGAAACCAGCTCCAAAAAGTGCTGTACCATGATGCATGAAGCCATTGTCGCACAGCTCTACTCCCAAGATCACCGCTTCTTCTCTCGTTCTGCAGTCCCCCTACACCACAAGAAGAGAAAAAAAAAAAAGAGGACGGGTGAGAATAGTAAGACAGATTTGAACAAAAAATGTGAATAGAGTAGCTGAGATAAAGGGTGAAAGCTAAAGAGAGGCAGAAAAATATTTATGATTGAATAAAGAAAGCTGTGTGCATCTCAAAAGCCCAGAGGCCAGAAGAGTCACTTGATGCTCAGCCTTAAATACATTCAAAGTTATGTCTAGACAGGATGGTGTGACTGCTCTTGAAGTCTCTCTGCAGGAGGTGAGAGCTATTCTACTAGCTCAGGTCAAACACATTTATATGGACTACCACAAACACACAAGTGCACTCAACAGGCTGGTGAAAGCATGTCTTTAATTCTGCAGTGGTTACATTTTAAGTTTCGTTTTCTTTGCTGTCATCCTGCATACGACTATCAATCTGACAGCCTCAACGCTTCCTGTCAGAGCCGATAAAGTTTAGCTCAACAATCAATTCTGCTTTTCTTCCTTCATTTCCTCTCGGCTCCACAGAGAGCCTCAAATTTCACAACTTCTTTGCGTGTGTGTGTGTTGAACATTAAAAGTGGGCGACCTGTTATGACAACAACTGTTTCTATTGTATTTTATTTTCTTTCCTGAGCAAACCTGTTTCCAATCTGCTCAGAAGCCAGAGGAAATGATTTCAAACATGATGTCGTAGATTGGGATTTGGCAGCAAGAAAATCAATTACATCGAATTAAAACTCAACTAATAGGAATAATTTGCATTAACTGTAAATGTTGCACTGTTTACACAAATGCAAATAAGAAATTTACTTTTTTATTTATTTATATAATAACTTAATCTAGATGAGCAGCATAATTTAAAACAAATTGCTGAAATGCCCATGCCGCATCAGTAGGTGGAAGGAACGTCCATATTAACAAATATTAAAACACAGTTTAACTAGGCTCAGTGCAGCCAGATAGACAATAGTGCTATATTTTTCACTTTATAAGTCACACCTTTTTGCATAAATTAGCATGTCCTGCAACTTGAACAGCAAAATTACCCCCCCCCCCCCCCCAAAAAAAAAAAAAATTTATAAAACAATTTTTGGCTGCAATCTGACGATTTCATTCATTACATGAAAAATATTAAACATTACCATTTTCAGCCACTAGAGGGCCCTCGAGCATTATGGCAAGTCAAGTGTCTCATTAATAGATAAAAGTGGCTATTAATGAGACACTTGGCTTGCCATACCAAGCCACCTTCGTCTTGCTCCCGAACTCCTGGAGCAAACGTCAAATCAGCTGAATTTCATTGAGCCGCCCAGGTGAAATGCAGCTGATTTGACCATTAAAGTGCATTTATTAAGGACAAGTTAAACTGAGACATACCTTTACTTTAATGTCGAGCAAACAAATAATTGTTTTTCAGTGTTAATCTTGTTAAATTCTTGTTAAAGTCCTCCCGTGCACACTTCCGCAGCCGCCATTTTGGCAGCCAATCGATTTTTGGCACAACACCGGCCCACGTTTCCAGGTGGTCAGCGGTGACTCATAACAAATGTGACATGTCAGTAGTGATGCATAATAGATGCATCTTATATGGCAAAGCGACTTATTTATATTTTTTTCCACTTTATTAGACATTTTTGGACTGATGCGACTTATACAGCGGTGCGACGTTGTGCGGCGGCAAGTACGGTAATCCTATTTTGTTATGGTATCCTATTTGTATGGTAGTTTTAGGATCTGGGGAGTGGTAGCGCAGAGGTTAGAAGATGGGCCTGTGATTGGAAAGTCGCAGGTTCAACTCTCGGTTCTGACAACATCAAAATGTGGGTGGAAAAGGTGGAACACCCACACCTCCCTCCACCCTCATTCGCCCCACTCTGGGCCCCTGAGCAAGGCCCTTAACCCCCACCATCTGCTCTCTAAACAGGTCTCTCTTGAAAATGAGTTCTCGTGGCTCAATGAGACTACCTGTATAAAGGCTAAATGAAAGAAAAAATGTTTTAGGATCTAATTTTTAGGACCTACAATAAATAGTCCTTTAAAAAGCTCAGATATATGATAGTTTAGACATTTTTCTGCACCATAAAAAACAAATGTGTATCCACGCCAACCCCCACACATCAACGGGAAGTCTGATTTGACCAGCCTGACCGTGAGCTCAGCAGGCGCTCCTCTTCTGGGCACATGTTCCTCATCTTACACCCCCCCAATCCCAGTTAAGTGAGAAAGAGTACCCTAAGTCAGTAAATACAATAGTTTGAGTCAAAATATGATCATTTTAAAGCAACAAGATATTTTGTCATTTCTTATCTGGAAACCCTGGCTTGGCTAGATTTTCCCAAAACAATTGTAACTAGAGTTTTTATTTGATGTTTTTACAATTTCCTCTCGTATTAACTTTTTCAGCACTCAGTTCTAGTTTGACGGTGACAGAATCAGGAGAAAGCAAAGCAAAAGCAGAAAAATATGTAAAAAAACAAAAAAAGTACGACTCGATGTTGACTCGGTGAGGTTAGTATTGGTGGGCATGCGCGAAACAGGCTTCTATTTCATCATTGCTCAAATTTATATAGATCAAAACTACATAAATACACTAAAAGTGAAGTTTTTTTTTGCAAAAAAAAAACCTTTTCTCACTAAAAACATTGCTTGCACACAGATACTAATGCAGCAAAATGCTTCATTTCACTTGATAAACTGGAAAAATAAATCATCTTGATGCTATTAGTCACAAATTTCTGTAATACAGTAATAAATCTGGACAACATTCATTGCATTTTATGTTTTTGTAGGACGGTTAAATGTGTTGATAGAAGGCTAGAGAAGTTTAAGGTCGTACCTGCGCTATAAGCCAGTCTATAAGCTTGTTGGCCATGACCACTGATTTGTAGGTCCGCAGATGATAGTCCTTATCCCTGGAGAGGCACAAAAGCAAAAAACTTGTATCAAAGGATTATATTCAAAAGAAATCTTAAACTGTTAAAGTTATTGTAATGATATGAGACAGTCAACATGTAGAAGAGTAATAGCTTGGTCTATTTAAACACTATGCCTAAAGCGGGACTCATAATTCCTGCTGTCAACAACGCACGGCTACTTTTTTGTTGCTGGCAGTCGTGTCGTTTATCTAAAGAGAGTTCCTGAGGTTTGGTGACAGCGGAGCAACATTCCTCGGAGCACGGCTGGTATGGTGTCGCTGTTCTCAGTGTTACAGCGCTCTGCCGCACACACATCGCCAGACCTCCAAATGCTGTTTGAAATGGAGCCGTGACTTCCCATGAACGCAGGGGCCTCTCAGGGGACACGCAGTGGGGCCGGGAAAGTCCTGAACCACCATGACTTGCACTACTCCACCACATGCAAACACACACACACTTAGCTTTCCATCCTACACAGTTCAGACAAGTCAAACGGGGGTTATGGGCCAAATAAAAGTCCAACCTCAGCTGTCTGGTCCTTTTCAGAATGTTGCCGTTTCTCATTCTGTTATGTAAGGCCCTTTGGCAGCCTGTGTTTGTCTCCCATGAAGATGGTAAAGTTGATGAAGCATGATGAGGTGTGCCATGCATAAAACTCCACTCTGGCCAGAAGAAACTAAGGTTCCCCTACATTTTTCCCGAATGGGATACCAGCACCAGAAATACCAGAGGCTTCAGTAAAAAGTGAGGCTGTCAAAGTGAAAAATGGGGGGTAAACATCGGCCCAGTGGGCAGCCATATGTCGGGGATGAGGAAACAGCAGCTTGAGTAGAAAAAGTAAAGGTCAGAGAGGTGGTTTTAACTTGCTGTCTGGAGGAAACAAGTTTGCTTTGACATTTTGTGAGTGGAGTTGTAGGTAATTGTACTTTCAAAGCAAACACTAGAATAAATCATACAAATGAAGCTAAAAGTTCATGCTTTAATCACCTGCTCAGCCTTGAAAAATGATTCAAATAAATCAATGGATCATTTGTTATTCTGGATTCTTCACACTTACGCTGACTCAGCAGAATAATGAAGAGCAAGTACGTTTTTTTTTCATTGATCACAACAATAGTTCTTGATTTTTGTAATGTGTAGATTTACATTTCATTGGTTTGAAAATTGAAAATCCTTTCCCTAATCTCCTCAATGTGTTTGGGCCACGGTGAACATTTAAACTGCGTGATGAGATCCCCTGAAATGGACACATTTACAAAAGACAGGGAGCTGAACATGTTTGAAGGCTTCTGCATGGTTTATGCCCTCTCTTTGTCTCATCCCTCTCGCCATGCCAGGAAATTCCACCTAATTAGGCAGGAGCTGGTTGCTCCAATTAAACTCTGGCATTCCCAGGCTCTCTGACTGTATTGTGTTGGACTTTTAGTTTAATTGCAGCATCGCTAGTTGATAAAAACCCAACTTGAGCGTCCTTACAAGAGCTATACATCAAGAGGTTTGACACAAACACCAAAGAGACTGAAAGGTGACACACTAAACATCCAAAAACACTTCAGATTTTGGAGAAATAGGATCAAACCAAAAAGTTAAGCATCTATGTTTGAATATGTGGTGTGGTAAAATAGATTAGCAAGTTGCAAAGGCTGCACAAACTTTTAAAAAAATGGATGACTGGGCTGTTTGTAGAGAGTAGGGATGCACCGATCCACTTTTTTTCCCCACTTCCGATACCGATATCTGCGATTTGGTATCGGTAGATACCGATACGATACCGATGCGATACTGAAAAACAGTGCTGAATTAACTTAAAACACTTGTTTAAACGCAGACATAAATGTACTCAATTACAAATTTATTGAAAACTCTGCACCAGTGCAGCACACTTAACTACACCAGTAGCTCCATAAGCTTGGTCAAAAGTGTAAAAACATCACAACTTTAATTTGTTCAGTCATTGCAATTATGAGTATAACATCCAATATAAAATAAATAATAATAAAGATACTGAAACTGACATAAACAATAGGCTTTGGTCAAACGTGAAAAAATAAACTTCAACAAACCTTTCAAATGGTTCAGGAATTCTAAATATAATGTAAAATAAATAATAAAGGAACTGAAATAAGAGGGGAAAACTATAGCTTCAATAGCTTGGTTGGCAGATATTTAAAATAAACAGCAATCAGCTCCTGTCTTTATGGATCGGTCACATTGTCACGATACCTGATCAAGATTTTTTAAATATCGGTACCGATATCGATATTTCGGATCGGTGCATGTCTAGTACAGAGCAAAACTAGATTATTACTATTGAAGTGCCACCTTCATGGCTGCAGAAAAGTGGATAATTTATTAAATATATACCTGATGACAGGAGTGAAGAGGCTATGAAGACGACAGAACAGTCGAACACCCTGAGAAATAAAAAAACATAGGCATGCCGGTTATTTGGAGATTGTACAATATGATTTGAAGTGAACTGCGTTCCACTGGTGCACCTTTACCTTGGCTATGACATCGTGCATGTCAGTTCTTGGATGATAGGTGCCATCGTCGAAGCGGAAGCGGTACAGCACAGGCTCAGGCTTGAACTGGTATTTGTCTGTGACTTCAAAAGAAGAAAAAAGAAAAACTGCAGATTGAAAACCACCCCAAAAATAAGAAGGACTTCTGACAAGCGATGTGCCAGAGAGCATTATTTGTCTGGCTTTAAACCGCAAAGTATAAGAGGTTTAAAAGTATATTCAAGCCAAGCAGGGCTGCATGAAGAAACAAGCTTTCCACACACGAGGAAGAATCCAGCCTCGTGCAAAGCTGTCCCAGATAGCACAGCAGCTCAGAGCTCCATGCCTCGCTGGCTTTAGGCAGCTTTTACGTGGACCCTCCAGCTGTAATAGGTTGGCTCGTATTCTCTGCTGCAACCATGCAGGTTCCATTAAAAGTTCTTATGAAAAGATATTCCTCCGTTTTTCTCTTGGGGATGTTTAACTGCACTAAGGGAGCTCAGAGGGGCTCAAAATCATTCCGTTCTGTCAGGAATGGCTTTAAAACCCAATTTCATTTTAAAGTGAGGAGGCAATACCATGCCGCTGAGCGATTTAAGATTCTGCTTGACTTTTGGTCCTACTTTTTGAAAGAAAGTAACATGCATGCAGAGTGAGATGCAGCATGTGGTCTGAGTGCACAACGTTAATCTGTCGTTACCTAAAACCACAGAACAGAAACTAAAATGTAAGATAGAAATCAAGACAAGACGTGAATATTATTTTTAGCCCCTCGTCTAAATTTTGCAACAAAGTAGGGCTTAAAACGGCCACTTGATAAAGCATAGAGAAGACACCCATGGAGCAAGAGTGCTGAAAAGCTGCTAAGTTAGATTTGTTTTCAGTTCTATTACTGCAAAAGATGATAAAGCAGGTGTGAAATGAGTAGAAATGAGAACTGACCATGGTGGATGATGCCATTCTCCAGCAGAGCTTGACCCAGGTGGACCCCTTCCTCTGGGTTGTCCGTCTCACCAATTTCCATCAGCCAGGACACAAACTCACTGGTGAAAAAAAACAACGACACAACACTGGAACTAAAGAAATAACAACTAGAAAAATTGCATTTCCTGTGAAAATGCAGTGTAAATGCTGAAAAACAGCTGAAATTAGCTAAAATAAACATTCTGATTTGTAGCTGAAATGGAAGAACAATCAATCCTAAGTTGGCAGAAGAAAGAAGAAAGAACACATATGTGCTAAATTATGTTTAAAGAAGCAGACATTAGCACAAAAATAAGGAAATCGGCTAAAAACAGCTGAAATTTGAAAAAAAAAAAAAAAGGGCTGAAAAGTAACTGAAAAGGCAGAACGAAGCGGAAGCAGAAGGAGCTGAAATGAGCTAAAAAAATGTGGAATTAGCTGAAAATGCTAAAATTAGCATAAAAACAACTAAACAGTAGCTGAAATAGAAGAATAAGCAGAAAGGAGCATAACAAGCTGCAATTAGAAGTTTAGGCTGTAGAAATTACCACAAAAAAATTTAAATGATCTGAAACCAGCCAAAATTAGCTGAAAAAAAATGCTAAAACATGTATCTGAACAGGTAGAACAAGCTTAAATTAGAAGAAGAAAGCAGAAAGAGCACGTTTGCTGAAAGATGCAGAAATGAGCACAAAAAAGCAAACAGCTGAGAAGCAGCTAAAAAGGCAGAAAGAAGCTTAAATTACCAGAAGAAAGTAGAGGGAGCATATTTTTGCTAAATTAGGCTGAAAAAAGTTTAAATTAGTGCAAAAAATGTGAAATTAGCTGAAAAAGATAAAATTAGAATAAAACAGCTAGAAAGCTAAAATGGCAGAAAAAGCTGAAGCTTGCAGAAATAAGTTGAAAGGAGCATAACAAGGTGAAATTAGCAAAAAGAAGTTTGAAGAACAAAAATGTTTTAGTTAGCAGAAAGAATTTGAAAGGAGCACAAAATAGCTGAGCAAAACATCTGAAAGTAGCTAAAAAAAAGTTTTAATTTGCACAATCTGAAAGTAGCTAAAAAAAAGTTTTAATTTGCACAAGGAAGCTGAAAGAAGCTGAACCAGAACAAAATGTGAAAGGAGCAGTAAAACGTAAACAGATTAAAAAATATGAAGGATGTAAAATGAGATAAATTCATTTTCTATGAGAAATAAAAAAGGCAGAAAAGGCTAAATATTTCAAAAAGTTAAAGTTGCATTAATACTAAAAGTAATACTACCCTTCTACTGAACGAGCTGAACGTTACTTGTTGAAATAGCACAAAAATTTTTGAACGAGAAAGATGATGAAAAACGTAAGGAAGAAGAACGGATCACAATAGTGTGAATGCTTCATAAACATTCACACAATTAGTGTGAAAATGCTGAGTGCTAAATGACTTAGCTAAAATTCGTTGAAGTGGCAACTAAAATAAAACAGAACACTAAGAGATAAAAGCAGGGGAGAGGACTTTCAATTCATCCTTTGTGGCATTTAAAATTATTAAGAAGACTAAAAAAATGGATAAAGGAGTGGTTTCACTGTTAGTTTAACAAACCAACCTGCAAGTTTTACTTTTTGTGTTTTGGCTATTTTCCCCAATTTTTGACTCACAGTTATCAGATACAAATACTTTACCGGATATCGGGAATTAGCTGTTGCCAAACACAAGGAGACAACAAACCAGAAGAAACAAACATAATTTGATGTTTTGATGAGCTAAAAATGGTCATTTTCTCATTTCTTTCTGAGAAATGGAGCCTGACAAAGTGAGAAGACAACGTGAAGTGTGGGGGTTGGTCATGGAGGACTGGGAAACAAAGCAGCAGTCTATCTGGTTACATCCTTGAAATCCTTTCTCCCCACAAAAGCCAAACAAACACAGCGAGGAGCACCACTGGAATTCCCTGAAGCGCACTTCCAGGCCATGATGGAGGCGGCTTGGTGTCAGAGTTCATCAGAAAGGGACATTTTGCCAAGTTTTCAGAGCGAGGACAGACCAATCTGCCCACCTCCTGCAACTTCCACACTTTACACGCTGACGCTTGATGTCTTCTCTCACCACAACAGACCACACTGAAAACACAAGGCTTCAACACTCATTTTTTAAACTCTGGAACTGAATTATAAGTTCCCAAAGGCACAGCTATGGAGTGTTCTCAGGGTGAATGTGCACAAACCTGGTTCAAGTGAGAATGATTATTAGTTGTTGGTAAACTAATACAGTAGTCCCTCGCTACTTCGCGGTTCGACTTGCAGACTCGCGCTTTCGCAATTTTTAATAGTAAGATTGAATGCGAGAAAAAAAAATTGTACATGACACATGATTGTCAACTTTAATATCACTCACGTGATTGGGACAGTACTGGATACTGTGCAGTAAAAAGTTAACGAAAAATAAAATACTTTGGACAGGTGCCGCCATTTTGTAGTTTTCTCTCAATACGCTTACTGCATCGCTGCTCATAAGGACTACATTTCCCAGAAGACAACTGTGCCCTGCCCAGAAGCCCAGTTGCCTTCTGCTGAAATACATAGAGGGAAAGTTCTGATCTGATCCAAAAAAGTTTGGTCCTTTACAGTGACTTCAGCACCCAGCAGATGCAGAGAGCCGCACGGAGCCTACCAGGAATCGGATCAGAACTGGACCCTCAGACCCATCGGCGAACCCAAGAGCTGCTAGCCGGCCGACGAGGACTTCAGAGCAGGGGACACGCCACCATAGGTCCAGCGATCCCTCCGGAGCCCGTCGGGACATTTTTCATCTCTATCAGACCTCTCAATCAGACCTCCAGTCCCACTCCTGCCACCCCAAAGTCCTCCCCGTACCCCTCCAAAAAATAGCACTTTGGCACTCAAGGACTGCACAGAACCAGACCCCCAGACCCATCGGTGAATCTGAGAGCTGGTAGCTGGCCCACAAGGACTTCTGAGCAGGGGATGTGCTGCCATAGGTCTGGCTTCTCTCTGGAGCCCACTGCCACTACCCCAAGCCAGAGAGCTGACCAGAACTGGCAGGGTAGGTTCGCTGAAACGGAACCAAGATGGAGTGGAGCCGAGCCGCTGCTGTTCTGCCAGCTGATGAGTAAAATTTTGTAGCTACATATATATGTTGCTAAAATGACGTAGGTTTAAGAGTTTAGAACATTGCGTTTCTAAAGCCTTGAAATATAAAGTATAGAAATACTAAAACAAATACGACATCAGTACTTCGTGGATTTTCAAGGGGTGGGTGGGGGTGGGGTAACCTAATCCCAGCAATAAACGAGGAATTACTGTATTCTTTGTTTTTCACCTTTTACTTGATTGTTTGCCTTTTTGTTGCTCTTTGTTTGATTATAGCTGTTGTAGGATGTTGTCTGAGTTGACCTGTTCTGTTTGAGGTTCATAACATTCAGAGTATTTTCAGTCATACTTTCTTGTCAACTGTTAATACTAGTAAGTTATCTGGTAATTTGGGTATTTTGTTTAGTCATAGATCATCCATAGACCCATGCTTCAACTCTGTCACACATATAACAGAATTTTAGCTACTACTGTGCAGTATAGTATAATAGTACTATAGATTATTACATTAAAAATTTTTTTTAATACATAAAATGGTTTAAAAAATCGTTTCCACCCTCCGTCCCAGACCTGTCCCGGTCTGCCCCTGTCTGCCGGGGCTCAGTGGTTCAGGGTCCGGCATTCGGGAGCAGACGAGGCCGGGGCTCGGGGTCCGGCCTTGCGCGCTTCTTCGTGTTGGCAGCTCGTATGATCCTCCACAGTGACTAGCTCACTCTAAATTTTGTCGTCGGTCACGAAACACAAAAATCGCCTGGAATTCAGCATTAGACCACAGTGTTGTCATTACGGTTTTAAATTTTTTTTAAATAGGTCCAGCCGCTGTTCCGAGTTGGAGTTGTTACAAATGGCGTATCGGTTGTTTTGAAAAGTTTCTGAAAGAACCAGTGACTCCACCCCCTTATCAATCAGTGACCGACGGTGTTCTGATGTCACGTTTTGGTGCTGGCTCAGTTCGCTTGGTACCCCGGAGAAAGGACTGAAAAAAGGGCCGGTTCCACAAAAAATTGCTAGGGGAAAAAGCCTTGGAACCGTCCCAAGCCGAGTCAAACCGTGTTGAAGAGGAGCTATGGAAAAGGGGCTTAACACTACATATTTTGTTTCTCTTCCTTCAGGTTTAAACTGGGATGAGAACTTCTGGTTAGGTGGCTGACACACACTTTTTCATTTCTTTCTGTTGCAGAAAGAAACCTCCCAAAATATAATGCCAGAAGAAAAGATGAAGGCAAGAAGAAACAAAAGAGGCGTGTTAAGAAAATGAAGGCAGAGCGTGTCACAATAGAATGAGTGGGCTGAGTTGAAGCCATGGGCAATGTGGTTTTCATTAAAGATATATGATGCTGTTTGTCACTTCACAAATACGCCTACATGTAATCAGCTCCAGAGCCATCACAGCAGGGGAAGTACAAAGCAAGAGATTTTTTTTTTTTTTTTTACCCACAGGTCACCCAGGTGTTGTACATAAAGAAGAGCTTTCCAGAGGGAGCTAATTTTTCACCACTTGATCTCTTCAGACTCATTCAGATGACCACATTTAAGTGTGTGAGCCTTTAAATTTTTCTAGCTGACAGATCCATTCCTTCTCCAGACCACAAGAGATCTTGTGTTTCCTGCATGGACCAAAAGAAGAAAGCAACTCCCTGTTCCAAACCACCATGCCGTGTAACTTTGCCACAAATATGTCCAGTTGGGCTTTGGGATGTTTTTTACTTTCTTCTGGCTTTTAAAAATAACAAGGAGTTTGACATGACTGAAAAAAATTCTAATAATTATATAATTGGGAAGCAGAACCCTTCATTCAAGTTTGCTTCAAAACTTTTGTCTAATTCAGAAAAATATGCGCATTAGACCCAGCTTTCATCTAACTTTTTACTCAAATGTTAGCCATCTATACAGTAGTTTAGATTTTGTGCAAAGCACCACTAAAAAATTACTTTTAACATAGGCAATATATAGAGACTATTGGTTGGTTTTCTAATTATCTCTCAAATCGAGGTAATGTGTTCAGCATAATGGTACTTCTTCCAGCTAGCTAACCGTTAACAACGGTGTACCACAAGGCTCAGTCTTAGGACCCACCCTCTTCACATTCTAAATAAGTAATGTACCAGTAGGACAGTTTATTCCTGATGCATCCTTACATTTCTATGCCGATGACATGGTTGTTTATTGTCATGCTAAAACAGTTGCTAAGGTTTTCCAGCTTTTACAGTCTGCGTTCTTCCATTTACTTTTCATTTTATATGCATTTTTATGATTGTCTACTGTTGTCATCTGTGTTTTTTGACTAAACAGGTCTCTCTTGTAAATGAGTCCTTGAGGCTCAATGAGACTAACCTGTATAAATAAAGGTTGAATTGAATATAACGATACACGAAGATGCACACTCACAGGATTCAGCTGAGGCATAGAGAGAGATCTGATTCATGGCTGGCATTCAATAGTTTCCTCAGACACCACACTAATATTCCTTAAAAAAAGATTCATGGGCCAAATTTGGCAGGATTGGATTTTTCCATGATCCAGACTGTCGTTATATAGTCTCCTGAACACGCACTTAGTCCTGCCCAGTTGCTGCATTCAGAAATCCTTGCCAGTTTAACAATGGTAGCTCAGAATTGGAAACATCATTTGTATTACAAAAGATGACACTGTACAAAGCCTTGAATGGCAGTTTTACGTACATCAGATAAAAGACCTAAAAAATTTTAAGGTACAAACACACAGAGCATAAGATTTCCATTCAGCTCTATTTGGTTTGCATATCCTGGTAGTTGCTTTCTAATTATTTACAAATGATTTGAAAGCATTTGTAAAAATCTTGCAGTGGATGATGGAGGTGCTAGTGCCGCAGAAAAAAGTTTGTTCTGCAAGGTTTAATGCTGTAAGGCCTTACTTTCCCAGGAAGCACTTGGGGAATGTGGTGAGCTTGCGTTTTCTGTCCTTGACGAGGTTTCCTTTGGTCATAAGATTGTAGAGCTTCTCTCCCTTCTCTGAGACCATTACCCAGGTGTCCTGCTCCATGCCGAGTCTCAGGCCTGCATAGTGGAGAAAGAAGGGATGGGTGAAAACTGCATGTCAACATAATGGCTTTACTGACATGTGTGCTTAAATCCTGGGGCGTTCTAATCAGGGAAAAGTTAATTTCCTCTAAATTTGTCAATAACTCATAGCGGCTTCTTACTTTTCCTCCGCTCCCTTTCTTTCATGATGGCCTCCAGCCACTCCTGTTTCTCCTCGGGGGTCTTGGCCATGCAGACAAACCACTTGTTCTTGGCCGTGTTGTGGATCTTCCAGCCATTGTTCACAATGTTTCCGCTGCTGTGGTAGTCAGCTGTGAGGCAGACAGTCACAGACAATGTCAGCCATACATGTTTAATACAGTCTTCTCTTTGCAAAGAATCACACAACACAAATTTGCTTTTATTTTCATAAAAATCTAATTCAAATAGTATGCTGATGGAAACACTATGCAGGAATAATATCTGAATTGACAGAGCAGCTGCATTTGATGCATTCACATTGTATAAGATACAAAAAATTACTTTACTCTCAAACTCATTCATCTAAATTCCAGAACCTTCCCATCGAGGGTTTAATTGATTATTGCTCCTCTTCTTTAATGAGATAAATGAGCAAACACAAGCAGAAGAAGAGCTATCCATCAGCATTATTTACTCAATTCTTTAGACTAGTCTCGTGAAGCAGACTGTGATTTGCTATTTAAGCTAATGGTTTGTAAAAGTAAGGTGGAAATGTGCATTTGAGTTTGTCCCCTTCCTTCATGTGGCTTTGTTTTCCCTGAATACAAAGCAGTAACTAGAAAAATTGTATTCCCTGTGAAGATGCAGTGTGAATGCTTATTGCTGATGAACTATTGAAAAACTGCTGAAATTAGCTAAAGCATTCTGAAATGGAGCTGAACTAGAAGAACAAGCCTAAATTAGCAGAAGAAAGCAGAAAGAAAACATATTTGCTGAATTAACAGAAATTAGCACAAAAATTAGGCAAGTAGCTAAAAAAAATGTGAAATTAGCAAAAGATAGTTGAAAAGTAGCTGAATAGGCAGAAAGAAGCTTAAAATACCAGAAGGAAGCAGAAAGAGCTGAAAGGAGCTATAAAAATGTGGAAGCAAAAAAAACATCAAAAGAGCTAAATATTAGCTGGATGAGCAGAGAAAGCTGAAATTAGCAGAAAAAAGCTGAAAGGAGATAAAGAGCTGAAATTAGTATAAAAAAGTTTAGTAGGCCGAAAGTGGCAGAAATTAACATGAAAAACTTGAATTTATCTGAAAACAGCTGAAATTAGCTAAGAAATGCGAAAAAGTTAGCTGAAAAGGTACAGTAGAACAAGCTTAAATTAGCAGAAGAAAGCAGAAAAAAACATGTTTACCCAATTAGGTTGAAAGAAGCAGAAATGAGAACAAAAAAGTGAAAATTATCTGAAAAAAGCAGAAATTAGCAACAAAAAAAACCAGCAGAAAAGTAGCTAAAGAAGCAAAAAGAAGCTTAAGTTACAAGAAGGAAGTGAAGAGAGCACATTTTTGCTGATTAGCCTGAAAAAAAGTTGAAATGAGTGCAAAAAATGTAGAATTAGCCAAAAAAGCTAAAATGAGCATAAAACAGCTAAATAGTAGTTAAATAGCAACAAAAAAAGTTGAAACTTGCATAAATAAGCTGAACGGAGCTTAATAAGCTGAAATTAGCAGAAAAAAGTTTGAAGAAGTACAAAAATAGCAGAAAGAACCTAAAAGGAGCACAAAACAGCTGAAATTAGCTGAAAAAGTTTTCATTTGCACAAGGAAGCTGAAAGAAACTGAAGCAGAACAAAATGTGAAAGGAGCAGTAAAAGTGTAAAGAGATCTATGTAAAATGAGCTCAATTCATTTCCTATGAGGAAAAAAATGGCAGAAAAGGCTAAATATTTCAAAAAGCTAAAGTTGAACCAATACTAAGTAATAGCACCCTTCTCCTGAACGAGCTGAATGTTTTGATATATGATTTGTTGAAATAGTGTGAATGCTTCATAAACATTCACAAAATTAGCAATGTATTGAATTTACTCAGCACAACACAAAGTTTTCCAGATGGGATGTATTAATTTACCATATTGCAACCAATAGAAATAGCTTAATCCATTTCTATCTGATTCACTAGGAGTTCAAGTCCTCCCACCCTTTGAAATAATAATAAAAAAGTTTAGTTGAATTTTAAGGATTATAGAGACGACTTTAAATGCCCAACAGCTGGCCCTTGGGTTCTCCCTGTGAGGCTGTAACAAAAAACAAAACATCACCACCATCAATTATAATTATGTCCAAAAGCTTGTCCTCTGTGTGGAAGTCCTCAAGGGTGTGTTTCAATCCTCTGCAGCAAGTGTGTTCCTGGGAAAAGTCGAGGCACTTTCATTACATGGGAATTCCAGCTAAAATACTCCTGTCAGCCTGGATTTCAGGCTGAGATCTTTGGTTTGTGGCGCAGAACACCCGTGAGTTTCTGCACCATGTTTGTCCTCCCGCTCGCTCCAGACCCAAACCCAATAATCCCCTGCCAGAAACACAGAATTCTGCTGTCCATCTGAGGTCTGCTGGAAAGGAAAAGATAGATTTCTACAAATATATATGATAATCAGTGGCTGCGTGAGGCCAAAAGACACAAATGGGTGAGTTCACCGAGAACCAGCAGCAGAGCAGCAGGTCAGTCCCACGAATACATGACCGCACCTGTTTTAAATGCTCCAAGATTAATTACTACAATTATCTTTGTGTGTGTGTGTATTCGTGTATCTGTTAGCAAAATATTGTGATGAATTTGGTAGGGGACAAGCATTCTTCCAAGGAATGCTAGGCTTCTCATTTACATTTCCATTCATTAAATCTAACGCCGCACAGCTGAGTATCAGTGACTTTGCTATCAACCTACAGTACCTTATTTTTGTCAAAATATAAACCGAAGACTTGAGATTAGAGGGGTTAAATAATCCAAAAGTGGTATCTAGAAAGGAATGTCCTACCTGTCCCATCATCCATATTTTCCACCTCCATCACCTCGGTGTTTATTCTTCCTCTGAACAGGTAGCGTGGAACTTCAGTGGATGCTTTGCTGTTTTTCAAACGCCTTTATCAAAACATAAATAAAAAAATGCATGAATACATGAAAAGGGTTTAGTCTAATGTAAAGACGTGAAAATAGTCACATTCAGAGGTTTTAGAAAAGAACATCAAAGTTACAGAAGTTATTGAGTGTGAGCAACAAATTTGATTCTTTCGTCTTGTCCCTTTTCACTCAGGGAGTGCACCACCCTTTGTCTGCACCACCTGATAACGCTACGCAGGCTTCGAAACATAACGGGAAATCAAAGCAGGTGGCAGCTGGTGATGGCAAAACAAAAGCTGCTCCAAACACTTAGATTAGACGAAGCTGCATTGTTAAACGCTGTATCAGTAGCTCAGAGTAAGGAGCAGGAGCAACACAGAAACACTTGATCTAAAATGGGCTATTCATCAAGAGTGCTGCTTGCAGAAACACAATAATAGACTGTAATCAGCTTCCCTGCTTAATGTGCCCCGATCAAAGTTAATGTCATGTCATTAGGTAGAATGGCACATGATGTGAAAGAAAACTTGACAGAGAAAATAAAATCTTAAGTTGGGTGCGTAATAGCCCTACCTTGATTAAACACAAGTTCCAAAGTAAATAAAAAAAATGCAATCTTGTAAATCCATCTACTTAGCATTTTTCTATAACCCCAATTGTGAAAATTTTGGATGTCGTTTAAAGCATGAAAGTAAAAAAACCTGAATGCAATGATTTGCAAATCTCAAATATAGCTGCCCATATTAGAGGTACTAATGCACCCCCATACCATCAGAGAAGCAGACTTTTGAATTGTGCACTGATAACTAGCTGAATGGTTCCTCTCCTCTTTAGTGCAGAGGACGTAGTGTCTCTGGTTTCCAAATACAGTAGTCCCTCGCTACTTCGCGGTTCGTTTATCATGGACTCGCTCTATCACAGTTTTTTAAACTAACATTTGAAAAGACGCACAAGATGAGCCGCACAATCAGCATGGAATTTTTATTTAAAATAAATTATTTTAAATTATTTAGCACCTGCTGTACCTTTGTGCAACCCATACTGCAGGATAAGCTTCGTGCTGCAGCTGATCTGCTGTTCTCTGTGTAGAGCAAAAAAGTGGGCGTGGCTGAGGCTGCTTGCAGGTGTCTGAGAGCAGTGGAGGCAGAGAGAGGGAAATCATGACATTCTGTGCTCTTTTAGAGCGTTTAGAGTTTAGAAAAATTGTTTAGAATACAGTAGTCTGTTGTTTATCGCAGGGGATCTGTACCCTAAAGCCCCGCGATAAATGAAAAATCGCAAGGTAGGATTAGTAGTACAAGTAGTAAGTAGTAGATTATTTTAATATTTTATATATAGATATATTAAAGTATTTTAAACCGTTCCCACACTTGCAATATTCTAAACAATGTTTCTAAACTCTAAAGCTCTAGAACAGCACAAAATGTCATGATTTCAGCTCATTGCCTCCGCTACTCTCCGCCACCTGCAAGCGCTCTTGGCCACGCCCACTTCTCTGCTCTGCACAGAGAACAGCTGATCAGCTGCAGCAGGAAGTTTATCCTGCAGTGCAGGCTGCACAAAGGTGCAGGAGGTGCTAAATAATTTACAATAATTTATTTTAAATAAAAATTCCATGCCGATCGTGTGGCTCATCCATCAATCAGCCAGTTGTGTGTCATGTCTAATCTTATTCTGAAAAATCGCGATAGAACGAGTCCGCAATAAACGAATCACGGTTTTTCACTTATCGTGGGTCTTCAAGGTATGGATCCCCCACGATAATCGAGGGACTACCGTACGTACAAATTTTTGAATAATCTGATGACAGAACATTTCCCACTTTATTTAAGTTAATTTTAAATGAGCTTATAGATAGATGGTGTTCATGTGGCTTCTTCTTTGCATGATAGAGTTTTAACCAGCATTTGTGGAGGAGTTAGTATGTTCTAATGTGGATATGTTATGGGTTTATGAGATTTGCAAATCAGTGCATTCTGTTTTTAATTTATATTTTACACTGCATCCCAACTTTAACTAACATGGGACTTGTGTGATCTGTTGTTTTTCCAAAATCTTTTTCGCTTCATCACAAAAATGATAAATGTTTTGCACAGTACATGTATCTGTTTACTCTAGAAAATTGTCAAAAAATAAATATTTGAAGTAATTTTTTTTCTATATATTTTTATATTGTTTAAACAGACAAGTAAGGAAACCTCCAACCATCCATTTTCTTTACCATCTTCTCCTTTACCTACCTACTCACACCTAGAGGCGATTTAGTTACAAATTAACCTAAAATGCATGTTTTCGGTCTGTAGGAGGAAAATTGAGTACCCGGAGAAAATCCACTCATGCACAGACAGAACACGCAAACTCTAAACAAAGAAGCTCCAAGAAAAAAGGTGAACATGCAACCGTCTTTCTGACAGTTCTAACAACTTCACCTCCATGCCGCAAATAGAAAACTCTAAATGTTATTATTATTCAAATTATTCTTTAAGCAAAACAACCCGAAGTGTGAGGTTAATTTCATTATTTCCCATGTGGTTTATTGTTAGTAATATAGATTAAATAAAAGTAAAATATAAACACCTGTTTTTCTTCTTGCAATAAACCAGAAGCTTGTCAAACAAGAAGAAGATTCTCTCTTGTATGTTTCCAGCTGAGATCTTTAACAGAACACCCTGCATCAGCATCTCGGTGCAGGTATCTGTGACGTTGGAGCCCTTGGAGGGGGTTAACGTGAAGAAGAAATACATAAAATAAACAAATGTTAAATAACTACAATGGTGCACATATCTGTCAGATAAAACTCAGTACTTTTTTTTTTCAAACTCCACATGCAGCTTTGACCAGATGTGAGTTTACAGAGCCCAGCCCTTCCTGTTCCCTCTCTCAGGGGTCTGTGAAAACACACCCTGCTTCCTCAGAGCAGATTGCTGTGGGACTTTAAAACATGGGGTGGTTAATAGCTCCAATAGAATAACATCCCGTCCGGTCGGACCATGTGTTGCAATGTCTCGCCTGGTCACCATATTAGTTGGGTTCCTGCTGCAAGTGATAAAGCGTGCTGTCTTTTCCCCTAACTTAGACACAGCGGGAATTTATGCCCACACCCCCATTTGATCAGAGTTAAAAATAACTCCTTAGTGCATAGAGGCAAAGCATTTCCTGCTGCAGGAGACATCACTGATGCCAAAACCTTCTTTCTTTCTTCACCCTTTCTCTTCTCTTTGCTTCTCATGCACAGTTATCACTGACTTTCTCTGCTCTGGATCTTTAGATTCCTCCCTGAACGCCTTTTTTTGTTTCCCTTTTCTCACAGCCCTTGACCAGATGTTAAACTAATTTGCAGCAAGTTAAAAATGGCTACAACTTAGCCAGTTTTACAGCTATTGAGCTATTGTTTTAGTAGTTGAGAGTCATCCCCAAAACATACACTGAGGGCTACATGTAGTGGAACATTTTTGCTTCAAGCTTTAGGATTAGCAGCTGGCGTCAACCCTATGTTATGTTAACAAAATATCTCAAACCACTAAAAGGATTTTAATGAAACTATCAGAAAGTAATCATTAAATGTAGATTTACATCTCATTAACATTTAGATTACAGTAGTCCCTCGCTAGTTCGCGGTTAAACTTTCGCGGACTCGCTCTTTCGCGGTTTTTCACAGATTGCCAACTTAAATATTACTCACGTGATTGGGACGGTGCAGATAAAAAGCTAACGAAAAATAATAATGCTTAAGGCAGGTGCCGCCATTTTGTAGTTTTCTTTCAATAAGCCTATATCGTATCGCCAGTCCAAAAAAACTACATTACCCAGAAGTCAACATTGCTTCCGGCCTGCTGTTTTGTGCCAGAATGGAGGGAAAGTTTTGATCCGATCTGAACCTGATTTAAAAGTTCGGTCCTTATTCATAGTGACTTTGGCGCTCAGTGGATGCCGAAACATGATCAGAACTGGACCAGGACTACTCCCAACCTCATCGGTCAATCTGAGTGCTGCTTGCCGACCCAGGGAGCCTCTTGAGCAGGGAGGCGTTGCTTGGAGATCCGCTGTCTTCTTCGGATCTCACACAAACGTTTTTCATCCAGATCCCTCTGGATTATTTGGACTCGATCGGGACCATTGTGTGGTTTTGTGCTGGCTCTCCGCAGGTCCGGCTCTCTCCAAAAGTGTCTGGTGCTCAATGGCTAAGAGAGCCAATCAGAACTTGACCAGAACCAGATGAAGGCTGGCGAGTCCCCAGATAACATTTTGAAGTACTGTACAGTACACATACGCATGTAGTTAAATTACGTATGTTTAAGAGTTTAGAACACTGAAAGAGTATGGGAAGGGTTTATAAAGCCTTAAAATATATATAAATATTAGGGATGCATGATATTGGATTTTTGGCCGATATCCGATATGCCGATATGTTAAAACTTATTTGGCCGATAACCGATACCAATACCAATGTTTTTTTATATATATTATTTTTTAAGTTCAAAGTTTTTGTCTATCCATTGTGCCATAAGACTAATCATGCTAACGGGGCTAACACTTGACGTTCAAATGTCTGTGATAAAACTCACCCAAGTGCTATCATCTATTAGCTTCTCAATGACGTCTGAAATGACGGCTTGTAAATCAGGTAAGTCTACATTGGAAAAATATCTGACTGGGGACGATGTAGCGAGGCTCAACATAGTCCAAAAATCTTCGGAATCCGACATCCTCAACGAAAAAACAAAACCTTCCACATCGCCGACATTTTGACTTCTCCCTCTCCGCCGTGATCATATCAGGTAGGTGCACGTGACGCCATCACGTTGTGCTTCTGCTGCAGGCATCCTTGTCACTGGGTTGTCATACAAAAACAGTGTCTTTTATATCGGTGAGTTATTTTGATGGAATGGCCGATGACGATATTTAACTATAACGCTAATATCGGCCGATACCATGCCGATAATATAGTGCATCCCTAATAAATATTTAAATAAATATAGCGTTTCTACTTCAAGGTTTTTCACTTATTGAGATGGTGTCCGGAACATAACCCCCACAATAATTATTCTGAATAAGAATAAGAAGGCCACGCTAATTATTTTTAGCCGCAGCTTCGTGCACTCCGCCCATCTTCAGACGACTGTACGTACATATTCGCGTTGTATCTCGGTGCAATGCCAATAAAGTTTATTCTGATTCTGACAATAATCAAGGGACTACTGTACACTATACACAAATTAAGATGGCCACCACAGCCAGAAAACTGCCAGGCATAAAAAAATGGTAAAGCAGAATACCCCATTAACCAAGGAAGAAAATGAGCTTCAGACTAACCCATGGCACCAAAACCTGAGCTAGATGTTAAAATGACTAATTAAATAAACAAGGTGAAAAACGGGTGGAAACTATCCTCAGGTCTAAAATTACAGCCGAACCATGACATAGTGTGACAAAACACAGACACTTGCAAAGCTAACCAACTGGCAATCACCATCCTAGCAAGTGTTGGCAGTCATCGCCATGGTGACCACAGCGGGCCATCGCCCTGCCTCTCCCACGCAGTGTGTGTGAACCTGCCAGGAGGCCCTGAGGGTGGCCAGCAGTGGAGCAGGTCAGCACTAATGAGCAGCCATCCTGGAGGGAGGAGCAGGAACGGAAAAAAAAATCCCACAATCCCCCTGTCATTCCTCAAACACCCACACAGAAAAAAACAAAACTTTTCTTCAGCTTCTCTGCCGTTTTCCTTTACCCCTTCTTCAGTTCCATCTCATTTGCAGCTGCAGAGCCTGGTGAGCAGCAGACAACAGGATCCAGCTCCACAATGAGTTAATGTTCACAATTAATACAAGTGCAGAGGGGGGGAAACCGCAGAGGAGCTGCAGCCAAAACTGTGCTGAGTGCAAGATGTCACCCCACCCAACACCGAGCCTGTTTCTGATTGCACTATTCTTGGATTTTGAGCTGTTTGTGTCTGTATGCTCAACCAGACGCAGCTAAAACAAGTAATCTTTATGTTCCGACAACTTAGACAATAAACAGTTATATCAATTCTTTGGAGTTTTTTTTGGTGATAATAATGAGTTCAAGATGGGTTTTATTAGTTGTTCCAAAAACAGTTCTGCTATTTGTGTTTTTGCAGTGCATTTTATACTGAAACACTACAACAAGTCAGGTTAACAGCATCTGTCATGCGTTCAGAAAGCCTTAAAGCAACAGTTGAGAGCTTCCAAAGTGAGGTTTTGTGAAAAAGTTATGAACAATTATTATATTTATTGTTGTAGGCCACTGTTTGAACAGGCTCCGTTTAGAAAAATATAGGAATATAGATTAATTCTTACCAGATAGTTATGACTATTCCAAGCAATGCTAATACAAATGTTTTATTTTTCTTATCAGATAAAAACAGCAAAATTAAGTGTGATGCGTGGTTTAAAGCCCACCTCCCAGCCCTCAATGTGTGACTGCCACTCCTCTAAAATCTCCAACTTCTCCATCTGCCTTTTCGCTTCATTGATGCTGGAGCACACAGCCTTCATCAGCTGCAGAGACTCCTGGACCAGGTGGTAGTCATTGTGCCTCTTAGGGGTCCTCTTCAGCAGCTCCTACATGTATAAAGATACAAAGACAAGCGCAGAAAAAGCTTTAAAGAGGAAGAAGTCATCTGGAAAATTTCCTACATCCTTGTTTAGATGAGGCATGGAAACACCTGAGAGAAAACTATTGTATTTATCATCTTTTCCACACTTCACCCTCCAGTGTCTCCTCAGTTCATTGCTGCTGTTCTCCTCAGTCTGGCAAAAAAAAAGGATTGAATCTCAAAGTTGAAACAGCTTTTCAGCGTGTCAGAAGACTGATTTACACGTTCCTAGGTGTATCTGAAGCCTCCGGTTGCTATCTGTGTCACTTAGTGAAGAGGAGGAGAAAGAGGAGGCCACAGAAGCAGGAAACCCTCAACTGGCTGCGCTTCTGTTTACCCCGCTCTATTATTATAACATCTCTGTGCATTCTGGTGAATTATTAGATCACAACAAGATAAATGAGTTGGGACAGCTCAGGTCACTGAATCCATTGAGTCTTTGAAAATGTATAACCTTTCAGTCACGCTCCACACTGGAAAAAGGACAGGTATGAATGGGCCTGGTCAAAACATCTGAATGTTCAGCTGGGCATGTAGTGCAGTCGTGTGACTGAACAAAAGCAAAGACGTGTCAGAATACGAGGCCAACGTTTCATTAGAAAGGGAGAGGCTGATGTGTAGCAGACGCGACAGCCCTAACTAATGACCGAGGAGAAGAAGGTGCCTTACTGCAGCATGGGTGTGGTAGCTCTGAAAACACATGGCTGGCACGCACGGCACATTCACAAACTCACTTTGAGCAGCAGCGGGTACTTGCAGATCCTCTGAATAGGAGCCACCAAGTAACCTTCAAGTGGTACTTCTGTGTTTTTCCTTCCTCCCAGCAACATGCAGTTCTGCAGGGAAGGAAAGGGAGAAAGGTCAAACATTAACTGGAAATGTTCTTTGGTAGCTTGAAAAGTCCAACATTTGTTGTTAATCACCAGTAAATTAATTAATTGTTTTGCTTTCAGCATGCACAGAAATGTCATGATACTAACGGGATATTCTGTCCGACGTACGGATGTTGAGCTAAATTTTGGTGTGCAAGTCATCCTCAGTCTCCGATTGCTATCCAACATCTCCATACACCAAAGTTCAAGCTCAATAATCCAGGTATAAAATCCAATAATGTTCAGTCAGGTCATCTGGACAGTTTCTTTTTTTTGCTGAGACATTCCGTCCTTCATCCAAAGGACTTCTTCAATCCAAGAAGCCACCAAATAAAATGGATTCTCACAAACAGCATACTCCATAGTGGGAAGAGACAGTTTGTTGGTGCTAAGATGGCTTCTGGGGCCCGCCCTCTCCCTCGTCAACTCCTCAGTCATGACAGTCATGCCAAAGTGGTATGTTATGTAGTTGACGAGAGACTGGTGGCTTCTTCAATTGAGGAAGTCCTCTGGATGATGGAAGAAACGTCTCAGCAATAAAAGGAGCCATCCAGATGAACTGACTGAACATTGTTGGATTTTATACTTGGATTATTCAGCATGAACATTGGTGTTTTGAACCAGTTTGGCATGACTGTCTCAGAGGAGTTGACGAGAGAGACGGCGGGCCCCGGAGGCCATTTTAGCACCAGCAAATTGTTTTTTCCCACTATGAAGTATGCTTTTGTGAGAATCAATTTTGTTTGGTGGCTTCTCGGATTGAAGTCTTTTGGATAACGGACGAAACATCTCAGCAAAAAAAGAAACTGTCCAAATGACCTGACTGAGCACATACTCCACACTTAGCAGGTGGGTGGTTGTAATGTTGACAGAAAACACAAGCTATGAACTGGAGTACTGGACATGTGGCTGGGAAAAATTAATAGCTCAGTGACGCTAAAGAAAAAGTAAGATTGGTGTCTAAATTTGCAAATAATTTGTAAGAAAATAAGTTTAAAGAGCACAGTTTCAACATTGCTGTGACATTTAGATTCCAGGAGATTACCTCAGACATTTAATGTTCAAACATTCTAGCCACATTTGTTTGTTTTTTTTGTTTTTTTCTATGACTAATAAGTGTCTTTTTTAACTTTCTGTAATTTTGGATCTCTTAGAAGCACTTTTTCTTAACCTGTACCATTCCCAAAACTTCCTGTTGCTGATGATTAGCACACAGTGAAAGATTTATCATGAACTCAAAAAATGTTCAATACAAAAACAACCTTAGATTTTCCATAGTCTGAAACAGAATGTAACATAAATGAAGTAATAAGATTTTCTGTCAAGTTTAAAATCCACCGATGATGATTAAAATGCTTCTCAGAAAAGTCAAACAGTAAGACAGTAAAATAAATGTAAAAGCAATAAAGTGAGACAAAAACACAATGCATATAAAATCTATAATAGCTAGAATGCTCAATAGCTAAAAAAATTATTTATTTTTTTTACAAAAATCTGAGTCTAACTAGTGCGAGCATAGAGAGGTAAATTAAATTGTTTAATAAATTTAGGGCAACTACTGCAAAAAGACCCAGTAATCTTTGTTTTGGTTTGAAACATCTAAAAGACACTGGTTCCTTGACCGTAAGGCTCTTACTGGTCTTCGGCCTTCACTTGATCAAAGAAGGTCAAAGGGGTAAAGAGTCAGCTGTTAATCATTTTCACTTCCCCTCTCACCTGAAATTTAGATGTGGCGTTCCCAATTTACAGTGTAAACACTAAACCAAACTTTGTAGCAGTCAGCAGGCCAAAGGTTTAGTTGAGGTTAACGTGTATCCTCGCCCCAGTCACTACGGGCCACAGACCCAAGGCCTACGAACACATGGTACAGACTGGAAGGTAGCAAGAGACCCAGCTGGTCCCAATGCAGGGCTCAGTCACCAAATGTTCAACACTCATCAATTTCACCTAGAGAAAATACATTTTCTGCATTCTGTGTGAACACAGAGTGTTAAATGACTGCTGAAAGTGCTTAAATGTGCTAAATAAGCTGAAACCGAGTTGTTACAGCTAAAAAAAATAAGTATAATAAATGGTAGAAGAAGGAAATCCTTGCTAAAAGCTGCAAATCGCTGACTAAAAATAGCAAAACGCTAGCTAAAAGGTAAAGGTTGCAAAACACTAGATAAAAGCATCTGAAGGTCAGCCAAAAGTCTCAAAATGCTGGCTAAAAGCTAAACATAGGAAAAGGCTAACTAAAAGCTAATCCCAGCAAAATGCCAACTAAAAAGAGCAGAAGTCTCACTAAAAGTCTCAAAAAACTAGCTAGACACTGGAAGTAGTAAGAAATTGGTTAAAATAAAAACTAAAAGTAGCAGAAGGCTAGTTAAAAGCACAAAAAGGCTAGCTAAAAGGTAGTATCCAAAGGCTAGACAAATGCTCAAAATAGCAAAAGGCTTGCTAAAAACAAAAGCAGCAGAAAGGTAGTCAAAAAGTCAAAGGTCAAGCTCAAAGTAACAAAGTGGAAGGTAAAAGTTTGTAGTTTAGGAATGTATTTTTAGAAATAAATTTTCTATGTAAAAACAATATTAAGTTAAAAATGTTCAAAAATCTAAAATATACAAAAACCACATGAAAAAAAGGGGGAAAGAAGCCTCTTTCTAAATGAGCTGAGCCATTCTTTTTTATATGAATGGCTAAAATAGCACCAAGTATGCAGAAGTAATTGAATTGCAAAGCATGCATAGAAACATCAAAACAAACAGGAAAACAACAGTGTGAATGCTGAATCAGCATTGATATTAGTCCCTTTTCTGCCTGCGCAGAATTAAAAAAAACCAGAACAGCTGTAAATCAGACATGCAGCTACTCTTTTAGTGTAAAGTCTGCAAAGTCCATGCTGCCAGTCTCAGTTTCTCTTTGAACAGAGGTCTTCAAATGCAGCAAACGTTGCAATGCAGACAGACTGTCAAACACTAATAGTAAAAGGTTAGAAGTATGAATGAGTGGAAGAAATAAACAGTTCGCGCACCAAAGGTTTGAGGATATGAAGAAGAAAGGAAAAGACTGCGAGCCAGTGGTGAGGATGTATTCATTCTTTGTTCTAGGAGCTCGACGCTCTCCTGTGGGAGTGAAAGTTTGTAGAAGTGGCGGGACAGGAAGCGGGGGTCCACCCACGCATTAGGCAGGTCATGTCAAACACACTGGGACAGAGAGTTCAACTTTTCCCCCTGTCCACCACAGGCTCCAGTTTGGATTAAACCCATGCATGTTTAGGTCATTTCTACGATCTTTTCTCACCAGTAAGCACGTTCTGACACTCCTGATCTTATTGAGCTCCAGCAGCAGCCTCTGGGCCTTCTCATGGTTCCCACAGTACTCGTCATAAACCTGAAAACGGCTTCTCTGCAGGAGACAGAGGAAGAAAGTCAGTGTGAGTAAAGACAAAAATGGCAACAGGGCAAAGAAAAAAGGAAGAAGCGTATCCAATATCTTGTACACCTGAGGGACATGATCTAAGTCCCATTTTTAAGAAAAATAACTCTGGGTCCAAAAGATGACTTGATTTTTCTTTTCTCATTCTTCACCACTTCAAAAAGTTCTTCAAATGTGAATTTTTATCAGCTGTCTCACAATAGTGGTCTTTGAAATGCTAAAGGCTAAAAAAAATCCTTAACAATCACAGTTTCATATTTTGTAGTTTAATAAAATATTTAAAGTTCTTTAGCAGAGCACAAATACCAGATAGCTAATGTCCCACCATAACGTTGTTTTGATTTTTTTTTAAATGGGGGTCATTATAAAATCAAAGCATTTACTCAACAGAAAGAAAATTAATTTGATAATATAACTGATTTCTTATGGTTTTCTGGCTTAATTCATACATAGGTATTAACATGAGGGTTTTTTTTATCTTTTGTGTGAAACTTGATTTGGTTTAAATATTCAACTGCTTCTTAACACAAATACCTGATCAGCCAATCACATCTGAGCCTTTTCCATGGGCTCGACTCAGCCCTAATCGGGTCGACTCGGCCCTAAATGGGTCAATCCTGCGCGAGTTCAGTCTTTATAAATGGATCATTCATCCCGCTTCCTGCTCAGTTCTTAGGACCTACTGGGTCGAGGTATCAAGTGAGCTGAGTCGAGCTGAAGATCTGACAACAGTAGACTGCCGGACATTGAGTGGCCAGAGAGCGACGTCAATCACGAGAGTGTCTCCTTCACAGTAATCAAGCCCACCATTTTTTGAAACCTCACAGCCACACCATTCATTTCTGTTGTTTAGTTAACACCAGTGCTGTAGTCTACGTGATAACGCGAATATATATAGTACTGTGATGTCGAACGGTGTCTGGATGGGATTAAACTGATTTTGTACAGTGTTTAATAGTTCAAGTTGTGTTTATTTGTCATATGCAAGGTTAATACAAGGTTTACAGTACATTGAAATGCTCAGGATTAAAAGAACCGATTTGACTCGCTTAAAAAAAACAAACAAACAAGAAATAAGGAAATGCAATAAGGGTACAAAAAGAACATACGAAAAAGTGAAAAAGTAACTATAATATTTACAAGGTCGTAAAGAGAAAATAGTAAACAAGAACATGGTAGAATTTTAACGATGCAAGCAGGATGAATTTGTATGAATAAGTACTTCAAGGTAGTAATAAAAGCTAAAATGCACGTACTATATATTGAACATAACTAACATAACATTTCTAAGCGCAGTATACCCACTACAAAAATATAGAGTACACCACTGCTTAGCACCATGGTACTTTGAGGAGGTGCAGCCGTTTCTGTGCTTGTTGGCTGACGACAAAATTCAGACGAAGCTAGATCAAATGGACTCAATTTATATAAATAAAGGTTGAATGAAAGAATGAACGAATGAATGATTTACGGGCGCCAACCAGTGAAGGGGGGTGGCCTCAACTCGGCCACTCCATTTTTGGACACCGCATTGAAGGATAACTGCTCTAACCACTCAGCCACAGCCGCCCCATGAGATGGGTGAATATTTTATGACTTTATTTTACTTGTTTGTCAGTTGGTGGTAAGTTTTGGGCGACCGCACTGACAACCTGAACACTTAGTTACATTTAAAACTAGAGACTGTAGAACTGAGGCGGGTTGACTTAGAGCAAAGTGAGACAGGACAATGAAAAAACAGCACAAGATTTGCTTCGCTATGTTGAGCCTGTGAAAAAAGGCAATCAAACACAACATCACTACAACAAAATACTGCTTTCATAAATGTTCAACTTAAGGTAAAAGTTTCATGAAGTTCAGATTTCCATATTAGATCCAGTTCTAAGAATTTGCAAGGCTGCATCCATTTATTAGCAGCTTATTTGATTATTTTTTTACTGGAAATTTTAAATAAATAAGTGAAAAAAATCACAACAGGCCACTTCACCACTTGCTCTTGCCGAGATCGGACGCTTTCCCCTCCCCTTCCTCTCCGCTTTGCTTTGCTGCTCTGTCTGTCTGTGAAACTGCTTCTGAGACTCTCTTGCATTTCTTCCAAACCATAATTATGGACTTGTTTTGATCAGTTGGTCCCTCAACTCAATTTACAACATTTCTTCGAAGAGAAGACAGGCTTTAGGCGAGCTGATTTGCCCTGCTGGCACGCAAGTAGCTGGATATCTCATCGACTTGGAAGACTTGATGATGTGTCTATCTCTGCTGCCATTTGTGGATTTTAAGGACGCATATTTAATTGGATTTACGATAACTTGTTCTTTCTTTTTGGATTCGGCTGGTTGCTGGTTTTATCTACAATCAAGGAAGTCGTCGGCAGCAAATTTGGACCCGATCATGCTGCTTGCCTTTATGATGGCTTGGTTCATGTCTCGAGTACAGACTCAAATGCTTTGGGCAGAATGGATCAGATCTCGGGGATTTTACTCGGTCACGTTCCATCGGTGTGGCCATGTAATTTGAACATTTCGGAACCGAGCGGACCAACACAGACTCAAGGTAGATGTCATTAAGTTCTGCCTGTCCCCAAAACAACTGTGTGTTTATCTGAATTTGGCTCCCTTGTCTGGCCTTGAAGGCCATTTATCTGAATTCGCCTGGAGAACATGTGATCTGATGCTCACCACCCCCTCCCTGAGGAATTTCCAACTGATAACCACAGGAAACCAGCTGAATAAACGTTGTGTCATCATTTCAGGACTCTTGGATTCTCATAGTAGTTATTCTTGGGCATTCCTCAACATACCTCGAGAATGCTTACAGATCTCACCTGAGGACACTGGCTGATTATTCCATCCTTATCAGAACTCTTACAGTGCCCTTGAGAGCATCTATGAATATGCTGACCGCTCTCGCCTCCCCCCTCTGCAGAATGTCTACGTCACTGTGCTTGTTTGTGCGAGGCGTTTTTTAATATCAGAGTTTTTTCTTCTCAGGCAGGAAAAAAAAAGTCTGATAGGAATTTTTTTGCCTCCAATTCCTACATGTGTCCAGTTTCACTACTTTTTTGTCTGTCCAAACAGGTCTCACTTGTAAATGAGTCTTCTAGGTGCAATGTGACTTATCTGTCTAAATAAAGGTTGAATGAATGAAACTTAAACATATGCAGTGTGAAATTCTTCTGTCATCTTGAAATGCGTTGTGTTTTGTGGTGTGTGTGTGTGTGCGTGTGTGTGTCTCTTCCATCCTGTCTTCTCATCCTCTGTCTTGTAGATATACGACCAGCAAACTTTCAGCTTAAGCTCATCAGGAGGCATCTATGCTTTGTTGTCTGAGCCCAGACCACACAACAAAGTCACTACAGACTTACAAAAATAGTTTGTGGTCCTCAGGCAAGTGCTGAGCCTCAGGACAGAAGGGTATTTTATCTACCACAACAGCAAGTTTACAAAAACACAACACTAGGATTAGCTGAACACTGTGCCAAAACTTTATATGAAACCTTAAGCTGACTGTTTTAAGGGCTTGGAAATGAGTGGAGTCAGCCAGAGCCAGAGTCTGGGCCACAGAGGAACTGCAAGTTTGAGCAGTCAGCTGTCCAGCTGGCATAACTTTTTTATGTTTCTGTTGCAAAGTTATTCAACGTTATTCATCTTTAAGTTTATCTGCATCAAGAAAACACTTGGAAAGTTTGAAAATGCTTCACAATAAGGGAGCCTAATTTGTTTGATCTCACTGCGCTCACACTTCTGCGCTTCTGACTGAATCATAGAAGTTTTCGGTTCTCAGCTTTGAAGTGTAGCCTGGTCTCTAGATCAAATTGTCTCGTCGTAAACCTACTGCAGCCGCGCCATCTGTACCCCGACATCATCTCTCTCCTTCACCTGCGTCCAACAGCAGAGAGACACTGAAGCTGCTGCGAGACCAACAGAAGGACGGGTAGATTTATAGCCCTTTAAAACCTATTACATGTCAGTACGCTTCGAGAATCTGCATCAAAGATATATATATATGAAGGTTGAGGTGAGTACATCAGAGCACATGTGCACTGTCTCATCATGCAATATCTAGAAAGATTAACGGACAGCATGTGGAGTGTCTCGTCATTTCAGGAGCAAAGCTAGGTTTTCAGATTACAGACAGCAGAGAGAGCGCATCGATGCAATAGTTCATATTTTATTGTGGGGTTTCAGAGGAAAGGTTATGAACAAGTATTGTCTTACCTGTTGTAGATGCTCTTTGGATGACCTCAGTGTGGACAGTTTATTTAGGATCTGACTGACAAACAAATAGCTAGGCTGAGCGTTCTAAAACATCCATTCATCCATCCATCCATCCATTTTCTTTACCCGCTTTTTCCATTTTGGGTCACGGGGGTCGCTGGTGCCCATGTCCAGCAATCACTGTGCGAGGGGCGGGGTACACCCTGGACGGGTCGCAAGTCCATCACAGGGCCCGTTCTAAAACAGCTCTAATCTAAAAAAAATTATTTTATTTTTTTGGTAAACTTTCACATTGCCGTGAGTTTTGCGTCACATTATTAGAATAAAAAAGGCATTAAATTAAAGCTAGGCGTGTCCTAGACTGCACCAGAAGGGCTACAGTTAGCTGCTGCTGTTTGAACTCATAAATAACTTTAGAATGAAAACAACCAGCGCATTATCAAACTGATAGGGAAAAATATATATAAATATTATCAAATTTATAAAAATAGCTGTAAAAATTTACAACTCGCTATTAGCATTTCAGCAGCTAGCTATAGCACTAGTTGTGCAGCTTAGGGTGCTTCTCAAAGGAATACTACTTCTAACTTTTAACTAGTCTTTTGCTACATTTAAATGTTAACTACCGGTAGTCTTTTGCTCTTTTAACTAGAGCTCTGCAACTTTAGCTATAAACTATTTTTTGCTCCTTTTAGCTAGCTTTTTGCTACTTTTGGATAGCCTTTTTCTTTATATAGCTAGCCTTGTGCTAGTTTTAGCTCTTAGATAGATTTTTGCTCCTTTTACCTATACTTTTATTTTGTTTACCTAGCCATTTGTTTCATTTAGCTAGGTTTTGATATTTTTACCTTTTAGCTAATACTTCGCTATATTTAGCTCTTAGCTCACGTTTGCTCTTTTTAGCTAACCTTTTGCTTCTTTTAGCTTTTATTTAGTGTTTTGCTTTTTAGCAAGTACTTTGCTTGTTTTAGCTAGCCTTTTGCTAACTTTAGCTTTTAGCTTGGCTATGCTAGTTTTAGCTTTTAATTGATCTTTTACTACTTTTGAATAGCTTTTCACTATTTCTAGCTTTTAGCTAGTCTTTTGATTCATTTACCTTTTAGCAAGTGTTTTCTTTAATCTGGCTAGTGTTCTTTTTCTTTCCGCTTCAGCTTTTCTTGATCGTTCCAGTGTCTTTCGGCACTCACTCCATATTTTCACAGAAAACACGTTTTCTCCAGTTTGTCTTGGTAATCTGCTGTGACTTTAAATAACAACATCTGGTCTACTTTACTGGAGAAAAAGCAGTTTAAGCAACAGACTTTCCACTAGCTTCAACTAGCAATAGCATATTTCTATGTTCAGCATCTTTCACTGCAGAAAAAACACGTCTTCAGTTCTGATCAGACAAACTCGCTGTCTAACCTCTTTCAACATTCATTTCTTATCAACATAAAAAGGAAGACATCTTTTTACTTTGCAAAACAAGTTGATTCCTTATTTTTTCAGGACATTTGGCAACTTTGCATGACTGAGCTCTGAGACAGCAAATCCAATCTAAAGGCACCGAGGTGGAGCTAAGCTAAAGACGATGACAAAACTACTCACAAAGTGCAAGAAGCAGCGCGCCACTTCATGGTGAGCGTGAGGCTCAGGCTGCAGTAGCTCCTCCACCATGGACAGGAAGTCTCTGTGAACGGCCAGAATCTCCTCGATGTTGGCGAATAAAGCCTGAGAGAAGAGGAAAAACCATGGCGCTGTCAACTTGAACAAAGCGTTTCACTTTTAACAATCTGTTTTCTCCTCTGTTCCAGTTTGAGTCTGTGGTGCTAGACAAATAAATGCCTGTGGCAACGAGATAAACGTGGCGGTTTTCTTTATAGGAAGCCCCTTTCGCCTGAGAAGTCTTTGATAATTGAATTTTAAACATAATTTAGGGTGCTCTAATGGAAAAGTTTTAAAAAAGTACATTTTTAGGAGCTGTTGGGGAAACGTTTAGCTCTTGTGTTGGGGTTGACTTCTGCCCTCGCGATGCTTTTGTGCTGATAATAAAAGGCAAATTTGGGCTCAATAAAGAATCTTGTGAAATAAAAAATCGAAGCGTGAAGAACAGAGGTTTTTCATTGGTGCTTCGGTGGTTAAAATAATCCTTAAAAATCTTGAGCAAACAGTAACAAATCACTTTGATCGCTGTGTTTCTGCTCTGCAAGACTGGAGCTTCACCACAGCATTGCAGCCAGAAGAACCCCCTCCACCCTCCGCTATCTCCAGCCCCCTCTCTGCACAGCATGTTCCCAAACAAAACATAACACGAGGGGACATGTTCCAAAACACGGACGTGCAGTAAATATCCTCTGAATGCGTGTTTACCTCCAAAAGTAAGCAAGTCTCAGAGACGGGCTCCCACTGTGACGGAGCATCCTTTATTATCCTGCAGCCGGAATCATTTATAAATAGATTATATTTGCAGCTGTTTCCTGCATCACCCACCGTTCACAACGCCACTATTTTAAGTTAAGAAAGCACCGCTAACAAGGATTCATTTAGCTTCCGATGTAATTTCCAACCTGTTCACACGCTACAAAATAAGGTTTGCGTGCAATGTCAGGGTAAAAGTCAATCACCTTGAATGCTTTTCCAGGTCTTAGTTGTACTGTAACATACCTCGCAGACCCCTCCTTACCTTTACAGTTTCCTCTGTGATGTTTTTGTCCATCCTGGTGGCTGCGTACTGGTTGAGGCGATGTAGAAACACCTGAAGCAGAGCACAAAAGAAAAGCAGCAGTTAACCCGACCGGCTCCAGGATTAAATTACTCTTTACAACTTGATCGCTCGGACCTTAAAAAGGCCAAAACAAAGATTTGAGGCTTTGTGTGCAGCTGCAATACTTTGCCGCCGCAGAAGATTGACGGCCATCACAATGGACATATGATAGTCTGGAAATACAATCCGTGAACTGTACGAAAATAAATCTAAAATTGCTGCGAATTGTATTTCAAAGGTAGCATTAGGCGTCTGAAGAGGCCAATAATGTGTGAACTGAGACGGACTGAAAGTATTCCTACTTTCTGACATCTTTAAGGACTCAGAATCCCAGGTTGCTTCGCTGCACAAACCAATTATAGCTTCAGATTTATTTTATAAGAGCAGAAAATTAGAAAGGTGCAGGTTAAATTATTCTTAAAATTTGACTTATAAGAGGTGACCGTTTCTGAAGTCCGTCTGCGAGAGTGTTTATAAAAGATGGAGGGCAAAGACAGCAGGTCATCCATTGGTGTTTATGCGAGGAGAAGCTTGGAGCGCCATCACCACTTACGTCTATGTCTGAACCTCCAAGGAGGCTGTGATGAATTTAAAAGAAAATAAATTATCTGATGCAGTTTACACAAGAAGTTCAACCATAGTGTAGTTAAAAAAAAAAGGATCTGCATGGGATCTAACAACAAATCCCTTTTAATATTTCTCAAGCTTGAACAAGAAGCATCTGTTAAAAAAAAAAAAACTATCGGTAGATAAAAGTCACAAAAATGACTCTCACAGATGTCAATGTTTACCCATTTTCCATCACTTGTGCTATTTTTTGATCAAGAAATTGTCTATTTATGCTCAGATTAGTTCAGTAAAAATTGCAGAAGGGATTTTTTTTAAAAATAATCTAAATTGAACATTATTTTTAAATAAACTTCATAATATTGTCTGCTTCATTAGAGCTCAAGTGTTATGGAAATGGAAAGGCAGCTGATACTTACAATCCAGCCCGAGAAACTTCAGGCAGGACTATAATCATATTTCAAATAACAGTCAGAATTAAACTCCTCTTTCCCTAAACTGAGGTTTATTAAAAGCTATCTACAACAGGTAAGATATTAATTATTCATTGTCTTTCAATACCTTTTTTCCAAAGATCTGAACTACCCATTTAACCTACTTGCTAGAATGTGGAATTTATATATATATATATATATAAATCAGCATTATTCAGCTAAATAAAGCTAAATTCATGAAAACAGGAAGAAAAAAAAAATTGTCAGAAAATGATTATTTTCCATGAACAAGCAGAAAGTGACATCATTGTCATGACAGCATGGAGTTTTTGCACAAAGGCTGTCAAAACGAATTAACCCTTATCAAAGGCCTGTCACAGATCACACAAAGCCGACGCAACGTGACAGACAGCACAACAAGCACAATACAACAGATTCTGACAATCCACCAACACAAATCCTCATTTTAAGAAACTCAAACAGCGACAGCATCTCTGGAAAACACGACAGACATTAAACAAGATGATTGTCTGTTTTAGCAGTTAACTTTAACCAAAGACATCTCTTTACTGCCCCGCTGAGGACTTTAATTCCATCTGTCGCATCCCAGCAGGCAGCCTGACACAATATGTCCAAAAATCGGCATGTAAACAGGTTGCTTTAACGAGCAGACAAGCTCCTCTCTGCATCCAAAGGGGCAGACGAAGACTGAGCTTACTGAAAAAGTTTCACTTGATTAATGGCGAGCAGATGGTGAAGATAAAAATTGAAATTTTGGGCTAATTGCAGAACCAACTTTATGTTGACATTTGTATGAATACCAAGTTGGCGTTTTAAAAAAAAAAAAAAAGGCTGAAATCATCTTAATCGCATTGTATTGATGTTGAGCGGCACTTCAAAAGGAGCTGCACGAATGAAAGAATAAATTTAGGTTTGTGGTTGGAAAAAGCAGCACACAGATAATCAGACTCTTTGTTGTTGGGTGACTCCAGGCTGATTACAATTCTGTAGCTGCTTGCCTCGCAACTCTGCCACTCATTAGCATTAGCATGTGATTAGCAAGTCTAATACATGCAAGAGCTGAGCAGAAACTCACAAAACCTGATAGGGTTTAAAGTAATCTGAGCAAAACCTACTCTAATCTCTACCAAAACAGAGTTGAGTGTAATCTGATTAAAACTTGGCCCTTTCAGTTTCAACACTAAGACATCTGTTCAACAGAAATGCACTAATTATACTTTATAACGGAAGTCACGGCTGGAAAATATTAGAACCACACTGCAAATATGTATCTGAGCTCAACGTGACTTTATCGTGTTCGAGATTTTTGTTTCTGCCAGCGCTGCAGAATGATACAGTTGATTTTCAAACGTCTGAATCTATTGTACCTGGCGATCGTGTCATCCAAATCCATCTTTGTACTTTGGGTGCTGGCAAAGCGCATCCAGGATTTGTCTTTTGATTGCAACACGGAGGAGAGAATTGTGTGGATTACAGATTTCCGTGAAAAACATTGTTCTGTTTAAGATGACAAATGCAGATCGGAAGTTATGTTTACATGAATTTCAAAACAAACGCAACCAAAACGTAATTCAGGCTTTTTAACAGTGGTTCTAGAGAAAATGTATTAATGAATAGCTTACCTGTTTCAGATAGCTCTTAGAACAACCTCAGTTTTGAGGAATAGTCTAAATCTAACCAAAATGACGAGCTAATGGTTAGTGGCCATCTTGAAACGAGTCTGACCTTATCATTTTCTAAGCGGTTTATAAAAACAGTATGGTATAAACCCTTGCATCATCTTTTTTTTTGCATGACAGTTATTTACTTAAAATTGTAGTTTGATGCACGTTCAAATAGTAATGTTGATCCCCAAAATTACCAGGGGTTACATTCTTAGAGCGTCTGCAAATTGTGAAAAACTGCACATTTTGGACGATGCAACCCGCTCTAAGGAGCAGGAAGTCCACTAGCTGCAGCACTGATACCGGAACCGGGTCAACCAATTACATCTCTGTGAAGCACAAAACAGATGAAGATGAAAAAGTTTGTATTTCCTCACCAGTAGCTTAAGCTTGTCTATTTGCTTGTCTACAGTAATACATGCATTCATAACATCCATGCTTGATAACTGCAATGCACTTCTTTTTGGAATCAGTCAGACCTCTATTGCACATTTGCTGCAACGCTATTTTTAACTGGTATAGGCAAAAGAGAGCACATTGCTCCAGTTTTGGCCTCCCTGCACTAGCTCCTGGTTCACGTTTGAATTCATTTAAAAATCCTTCTGTATGTTTGTAAATCTCAGAACAGCTCTGACCCCTCCTATCTCGCTGATCTGCTGCAGCCATATGTCCCACAGTGCTCTCTGAGGTCAGCAGACCAGATGCTTTTATTGGTTCCAAGCTATCAATATAAGCTCAGAGGTGACAGAGCTTTCTCTGTTCCAAGTCCAAAACTATGGAACGAGTTACCAATGCATGTCAGGCTCTATCTCACCGTTTTTAACTGTTATTTAAAGACACACTTTAATTCCCTGGCTTTTGACACTGTGTGAGTTGATTTTAATTCTATAATGTTACTCATTTAGTTCTTATCTTTACCTATTTGGATGTATGTATTTTATCCTATATCCTTTGATTGTTTTGTTTTTGTTGTACAGCACTTTGGTTGGCCTTGTTGCTGTTTTAAGTGCTTTATAAATAAAGTGGTATGGTATTTTGTGGCTCAGTGTGTGCACATTGGAAAGAAATATTCCAAGAGGCAATGGGCACAGAGCGAGCTGACAGTCGATGAAGCAACCATGCAGTATGATCCTACTTAGACTAGACATTAGCACATCTAATCAGTAGGGATGCACGATATTGGATTTTTGGCCGATATCCGATATGCCGATATGTTCAAACTTATTTAGCTGATAACCGATACCGATATTTTTTATATACTTTCCTTTGTCAGAACATGGCCCTCTTATTTTGGCTTATTTGCTAAACAAAAAAAGTGTAACAGCTGTAAGAGTTGGTGACATATACTCGGTAACAGCCATATGATATGCATAGCACTTATATTAAATGACAAGTGTTAAATGTTATTTATTAACATTAGTCACCTGCGATGCTGTCTCACTTGTGGAGGCTTGTTCCAGGTTCCTAGCTGCAGTGTGGGATCCTCTGCACTCCTGTGCATGAAGGACAGCCTTTTTAAGTTCAAAGTTTCTGTCTATCCATTGTGCCGTAAGACTAATCATGCTAACGGGGCTAACACGGCATCCAAATGTTTGTGGTAAAACTCACCCAAGTGCTATCGGTTATTAGCTTCTCAATGACATCGGAAATGACGGCTTGTAACTCGGGTAAGGCTACGTCGAAAAAATATCTCTGACTGGGGGCGATGTAGCGAGGCTCAACATAGTCCAAAAATCTTCGGAATCCGACATCCTCAACGAAAAAAACCTTCCACACCGCTGACATTTTGACTTCTTCCTCTCCGCCGTGATTAGATCAGGTAGGCGCATGTGACATCAACACGTTGTGCTGGCGCTGCAGGCATCCTTGTCACTGGGTTGTCATACAAAAACAGCGTCTTCTATATTGGTGAGTTATTCTGATGGAATGGCCGATGTCCGATATTTAACTTTAACGCTAATATCGGCCGACACCCGATACCGTGCCGATAATATCGTGCATCCCTACTAATCAGTCTAATCCAGTTAGAATTCAATGGTTTCCACAAACTAAGGAGACTCAAAGAGCTATCTACAGCAGGTAAGATAATAATTGTTCATAAATGTCATTGTTTCTTTAAAAGGTTTAGCTGAAGAAGTGTTGGGGACTAAAGTGTGGGCTCTTATTCAGGCATAAGGGAAGTTTTATTTCCTAAAATAGAGATTTTTTATTTTTTTTACCATCTATAGTTGTTGTTTTTGTTGTTACAACAGATAAGCTGAACTCCAGAGGGAAATGTTTTGCTCCCTAGATATTCTTCTTAGCA